TGGAGCCAGGCTTGTAGGATAATTGAGCCTAGAGGAGATGAGGGGAGAGGAAGGTGGATGCAGCGGTGTGTTTGATTGACATCTGGCCTCCTGAGAGGATGCTGTGTGCGGCATGTCCCCCTGGACTGAGTTTTCTGCAGATCGAGTTATGCCGTGTTTCTCTCTTCTAGTGAAATGTCTTAAGAATACCCCAGCCTTCTTTGCTGAAAGGCTCAACAGGGCCATGAGGGTAGGTAACCCCCAGGTGCAGGGTCTGGGTGGGGGGTGTCTCAGCCCACTCGTGACTGGGACCTTGCTCAGGGGAGGAGGCATGAGGAGGGCCACCCTTCAGCCAAGAGGGCAGAGGGCCCAGGGGCGGGGAGGGGACCAGGGCCCAGGGAAGGTGGGGAAGTGGACGGTGAGGAGGCCCGTTGCTCACGCCCCTGGGCCCACCCTCTTTAGGGAGCAGGAACCAAGGACCGGACCCTGATCCGCATCATGGTGTCTCGCAGCGAGATCGACCTCCTGGACATCAGAGCAGAGTATAAGCGGCTGTACGGCAAGTCCCTGTACCACGACATCACGGTACGGGCCTCTGGGGGCTGTCTGGGCTGCCTCTTGGCGTCCTGCTCACCCACGGACCTCCCTGGCCACTCCTACCGTCCCCTTTACTCTCCCTCCTCGGAGCTCTCGCGGGCTCGGCTTCAGCCAAGTATGGGCATCTTGTTTGTGGTCCTCGTACTTGCCCTCTTCAGTTTTCACTTGTTCATCTGGTTGTACAACAGCAGGGTGTCAGCTCCTGATGGCAGGGTGCCTCTTGACCCTGCTGTCGCCCCTCTCTGTGTCCCAGCATCCAGCACATCTGCTGTTCAGTAAACAGTTGTGGGAGGGAGGGTCCAAAATTGGCATCAGAGAACACAGGACCTCCCCCACCTGGTGCCTGGCCTTCAGAATCCAGCCGCCCTGTGGGTCTGTCATCCATCAGTGAGAAATCAAGCCCCGAGCCCCCGGAGGGTGAGCGGCTCTAGCTCCCTGATGAGTCCCCTCCCTCAGCTCTGTGGTGGAGGCAGCACAGGAAGGCAGTTCACAGGGAGGGCTCGGGGGTCACACTGCTTGGGGTCCAGCTCTGGCTTTTCTACTTGCTCACTGTGTGATCTCAAGCAGCTTGCTTAAACCTCCCTGAACCCCAGTTCCATCATTGTTAAGAGGAGGATAATAATAGTACCCCCCGCCCAGGACTGTTGCGTCTTAAAGGAGGTGGTCCACGTGAAGCATGTTGTGTGACACATGTACGTGTCTGATAGACACTAGCTCCTGTTTTATCACTGTGCCAGAGCCAGTCTGATAAAATTGATTCCTGTCGTGGCAGGGGTCAGGGGGTCTGACACTTAATTTCTGAACTCACATGAACCTTGAAATTGAAGTCACCACGCCCAGGTCCTGATTTCAGACTCACTAACGTTTGATGTTGGGCATGTCACTGAGAGAGGCTTCTCTCTCTTTTCTTGGATATAAAAGCAATGCTGTTGATAGCAGAGAATTAGTAATTATTCACAAAGTATCTTGTGTGTGCCAGTAGGTTGTGGGCACCGAACAGGCCTTGCCCTCAAGGAAGGAAACGATGGTAGGAAATGATGAGAAATTAGCTAAGTGTGGCCTTACTTCTAATGTAAGTGCAGTGGACTCAGATAGAGGGGATATCAGTGTGAACTGGGATGCCCAAATAATAACAGTCCCCTTCACTGGACAGTCGTATCATAGTAGATTACACTTCCTGTACAGGACACAGTAGTGCATTATGGTATAATCCCAACTTAGTGCAACAAAAATGCACTGGGCAAAGGCCACTGGTAGTTAGCCCTGGGTAGGGGGGGTTTTGGCTATTTAAAATTTTTTTGTATTTGTTTTTCAAATTCTGACTTTGATCATTCGGGTGAGTACAGCTTTCTATTTTTTTTTTTTTTTTTTGCGGTACGCAGGCCTCTCACTGTTGTGGCCTCTCCTGTTGCGGAGCACAGGCTCTGAACGCGCAGGCTCAGCGGCCATGGCTCACAGGCCCAGCCGCTCCGCGGCATGCGGGATCCTCCCGGACCGGGGCACGAACCTGCGTCCCCTGCATCGGGAGGCGGACCCCCAACCACTGCGCCACCAGGGAAGCCCCCAGCTTTCTCTTTTTTAATGGGAGGGCTCAGGAGGCTGAACTGTGTTGGCAAAGGTCTGTGCCACCTGCAAGGCCAGCGTGTGAGCCTCTCACCTGCTCTGGCACCAGCACGGTGGGGAATTTCCTAGGATGGGGCTGCCTCTCTGTAAGGGCACCTGGGGCAGAAGAAAATTAGGAGCCAGGAAGCCAGAACTGGCCGAGCCTCGCTTAACTGATGCCTTACTTGTTTCTGTGACCAGGGAGACACTTCTGGGGACTACCGGAAGATACTGCTGAAGATCTGTGGTGGCAACGACTGAGTGGTGACTGGTGGGTCACTTCTGTCCACCTGCTGGCAACAGCGATGCCAGGAAAAGGCCAAAAGAATGTTTGTCTATTTCTAACAAATCCACAAAAAACCCCTTGGTGTCCCAGCGCAGACCGTCCGTAGAACCTTGGCCCCGTCCCCCGCCTGCCCTCCTGATCCGTGTCTTGTGCTCGTGCTGAGGGACCTGGGTTGGTCTTGAACTCTCTCAGGATACCTCCTCCCCACCCCCACTCCTCACAGCCTCTTGCAGCTAAAGGAGACGTTTTGTTTCCTGACTCATGCAGTCATTCCCCTTTGCTTGTGGCTTAAACTCCTGGCTTCGTTTTAGTCATATAATGTTGTATGTTTATTTGGAGGTTTTTTTTTTAATATATAGTCGTTGCAGACAGATGCGCACACGTCTTTGCTGCATACACAGTTTGGGTGAGACAGGTGGGGACTGGGGGCGCCATGTCCTCACTGAGGAGTAAAAGGGAAAACCTTTAAGAGTACTCTTTGCATCTGGTGAGAATGTGTCATGAGCTTTGTTATTGCCAAACTCACTCCTTTTTAGAAAAGAAAAAAGCCAGAAAGTCATCTGTTCCACGCAAAACCACGAGAACAAAGCCAGCTCCCTGCCAGTGACAGGGTTACTTGTAATTGAGAATGTGCCTTAAACCTGAATGTCGATGGCCGAAAGCTGTTTCCAAATTAAAGTCAGCCAGTTCTGGAAGTGTTTACCTGGTGCCAGCTTGTTTTCCTGTGCTTCATGATTCTGCCCTGTAGCACAGGGGTCCAGCCTTACTAGCCGGTGGAAATTTTTATGACTTTAAATAGAAACTTGTGCTTAGGGAACTCTGAGCATAAGTAATTTGCAGGGACTGGGTCGTAAGGACATGAGAAATGGAGGTTCCTGAAATTCGTGCTCAGGGCCCAGACGCTGAAAAGGCATCATATGCGGGCACGGTGAGGCCCACTAGGGCGAGGAGGAGGAGTGTGGTCCTTCCCGCCAGGTCCGGAAGGAGGGGCACAGGAAGGAGGGGGTGTGCATGACTCCTGGGGGAGGCCTTACCGAGGAGGATCAGAGAGGCGTGAGACCGGCTCCTCCCCTCAGGGACCCTTCAGTCTGAAAGGGAGCTCCTGGCTGTGGTCCCCGGCAGGCCCTTTGCCCCTTGGTTGGTGGTGGTAGGAGAAGGCAAGTCCAGAAGGGACAGAGTTTCTAGAAGTCGTCGTCACTTCTAGAAGCCCAAAGCTTGTTTTCTGGTCAGGGATCTTCACTCCCTTTCTGGTTTCTTACGTTGAAAGTTTAGAAAGGAGAGAATCAGAGATTATGGTGGGAGCCCAAGCCTGCTGGGCCCTAGCAGGGGCCCCAGGGAGTGGCTTGTCCACAGAGTAGACATCTGCTTGGGGACACCACCCTGACTCCTCCTCCCTGCCTTGTGGACATAGAAGAGGGGATGTCCCAAGGGACGTGGGGCAGCCGTGAGCTGGACACTAGCCTGGTCTACCTAGATCTGCCTTGCCCAGCCAGAAAGGCTGATGTGGGCCCTGGGATGGACGGCAGGCCCTGCTTGTCACGTCAGCTGTGCTTCAGTTTCCGTGCCTGGAGCCTCTTGACCAGGACCCAGCATGCTTGGCTGCCCTTCCCCAAGGGCGGGCCCCTTGCCCTTGGGTGCCAGGTGGGACCTGCCTGGTGGGATGAACTGTGAGGCACTGCACAACTTGCCGTGGGTCCAGGCCGACTTTGGTGGCCTCCTGCACTGTGCCAGAGTCTAGATTCAACCTCCCATAACGTGACTGTAAATGTTCTGTGACATTACTTTGTCCCATTGTCTGCACCGGAGGTTCCAACCTGGTGCCCAACAGGCAGTATTTAACCTGAAGGTGCATTCGCTTTGGTCCCCAAAAAGTCCTTTTAGACATTTGAATTTGTTGCCAACATTTAAGCATTGAGCGATTTCATATTTTTAAAAATCTGGAAGAATGGATTCTCATGAAAAGCCAAAAATTCTAGTAACGCTTGCCCAGAATTCCTGCACAGCAGTTGCTGCTGGAGCCAACTCACAGGTGCCCTGTTTAGGTATGTACTCTCCATTTTGCCACAGGCCCCACTACTCCCTATTGATATACCACGTGCACGTTACCTGTTGGGCCCTTACACGTCTTTGAGTTTGAGACCCCTGGCCTACACACTTGGGGGCCACCTGTGTTCAGCCTGGTCCTTATTTTCTACCTTTCTGTCCCTCTGACTTCCCTCTTGGTCATGCCCATGGGACCCAACTCATAGTAAGGATGGGCTGGAGGACTATGTGAATGCCTCACAGATCTCTCCAGAGAGAAAGAAAGGCACCTACTGCCTTCTAAGATCCGTAAAAGGTTATTAACACTGACGGTGATGCTCAGGATAAAAAAAGATTAGGGAGACATTGATCTTACAGGTCATCTTTCTGGGAGGAAACTACACTGGGTCTTTTCCTGCCTCCTGGAGGTGTTAGTCAAGGCCGGTCCATGCCGCACATCTAATGTCACTTCCAGAATAGCAACCAGAGGATGAGGCATGAGGTGAGTTCAGCCCTGAATCTGTTTTCAACAGCTGTGGGGACATTGGAATGAACCCTGTGTGTTAGGGACAGGGACAGGACTAGGGTGAGGCAATCAGTCACTTGCTTCAGGTGCAAAATTTGAGAAAGGAACCTTGGAGTGCTCACTTTGTAGATGGGGAAACGGTCCTAGGTGGTGGTTCTCAAACCCTAGTGTGCATCAGGATCTTCTGAGGAGCTTGTTAAAGGTGCAGGTCCCTGGGCAGCCATGGGGGCCAAGAAACTGCATCTGTAACCTGCTTGCCTTATATTCTGATGCTGATCTAAATACTCCTGCACTGAGCCAGAGAACTTCTGAAATTAGAAATGTTCACACACAGGGCAGGTGAGCAGGTGGCAGAGTGTTTCAGTCCGGCGGTGGGAGGTGGGACGGTCCACTCCCAGCTTTGGCAAGAAGGATCTGAAAGATGAGCCTTTGCAGATGCCCATGGTCAAAGCAACAACTGGATGGCCGTGCCATGCCCATCCTTGTGCTTTGGCAGGGAGTTACAGTCCTAGCCTAGGACTTGGCCCCTTATTTCTGCCCTCAGCTCCTTCCTGCCCTGGCTGATATGGAGTGGAGTCAGACATGAAAACAGAAATCAAGCTAATCATTTCTCCAGGCAGATACTAGACTAGCTTAAATTTTTTACCCCATCAAACCTGAAAGCTTCTCTGCTCGTGTTCCTGTAAGGACAGGGACATCATTACTCAGTCCTCCAACTGGCCCTATACAGGGTTCCCTCTCAGCAAAGGATTTGGTCAGTCAGGGTCTCAACTCTGTAAGGGGCTCTTACCCTCAACGCCTACTCCTTGGAAAGCTTGCTTTGGCCTAATACTGGTGTCCACTCTGAACCTGGTTCCTTCCCAGCAATAAGAGCTGACGCGGCCCTGAATCAGAAAGAGCACTGGTCCAGGAGTCAGGCATCCCTTTTCCCGTCTCAGCTCAGCTGAGTTTGCTGTGCGACCCTGGATAAGCCACTTCCCCTCTTTGGGCTTAAAATGAAGGGAAGACTAGATCAGAGCTTCTTAAACTTGATTGTAGTCAGCAAAAATGGTAGAGTAGGGAACTCCAAAAGCCTGTTCCTCCGTGAAAGTGACAAATAAGATGGCAAAAACTGTCAGAATCAACTTTATGAGAGCTCTGAAAATGAAAGTTTGCAACCAAACAAAAGCTTAAAAAACAAAGTTGAGTCTTGGTGAGAGGATCTTGCTTCATTTTCACTAACTCCAGCCTTATCCTCCTCACTGCAGCTTGGCATCAGCCTCAAAAACAATATCCACATTCTGTTATAGGTTCCTAGCAATGAATGGAGCAGAATGGACCTTGTTCTCAAGAATTATGGTTGGTGGTTTTGATCTTTCTTACTGCTCCCTGAAAGACTGGCTCAAATGACTTGCTTTTATTTTACCTAATTTGGAACTCTCCCAAGGAGGAGGTGGTAACCCTCAGGGACATTTGAAGGCAGATTCATTAGCACTGATGCCTGGAGAGAGGGATAACAGTTGGGGCAAACAGGAGACAAATTGAAAAGTTTGGGGAGCAAAGGCCGATGATGTGATGCTTTGGGGAATAATGATTTTAGAGTGCTCCCATTAATTCCTGGGAATCTAGAAGGCCACACACATGCCTACGGCTGGGCACATGCTTAGAAAAGACTTGAGAGGACCGTAAGCTCTCACCTCTGGCTGAGCTTCAGGCTCTACACATGCAGAAAGTGAAGCAGGCAGAGTCATAGACTGCCTGGCAGAGTATCCAAAGATTTTCCCCAACACACATAACACATTTGTAAAGACTGGGAAATTTGGGGTTTTGTGGTTGTTCCAGGAGTTTAAGGAGTTGTGTGGGATCACTAGTGACCACTGAGTTAACTGAACAGAGACTTCAATGACCACACCAAATACAGACTTTAAAAAACTAGTTCACAAAGTCACTAAACAAACTACAACAAATTCAACAAGCAGCAATAACAAACTCTGGGGAGGGGGAAGAATCTGATTTCCAGAGTTTTCACATAATGTTCAAAATGCCCAGTTTTCAACAAAAATTATTGAGGCATGCCAGGAAACAAGAAAGTATGACCCATACTCAGGAAAACAAGAAATCTGTTCATAGAAATTGAGGAAAACCAAGATATTGGACTTACCAAGAAAAGACTTTAAATCAACTGCCTTTAAAAAGCTCAAAGAGCTAAAGGAAACCACGTGTAAAGGACCAAAGGAAACTAAGAGAATGATGTCTCACCAAATAGAGAATGTCAATAAAAGGAAGTTACACAAAGGAACCAAATAGAAATTCTGCAGTCGAAAAGTACAATTATAAATTTTTAAATATCACTTAGAGGGGCTCAAGAGGAGATTTGAGAAGGGAGAAGAAAGAGTTGGCAAACTTCAAGATAGGTCAATTGAGATTTCCCAATCTGAGGAGTAAAAAGAAAAAAGAATGAAGAAAAATGAACAGAGCCTAAGACCTGTGGGACAGCATCATGAAGTATACCAATGTACACATAATGGAGGTCATAGAAGAGAAGAGAGAAAGCAGAAATACTTGAAGAAACAGTGGCTGAAAGCTTAGAAATTTGATGAAAGACATTAATCTACACATCTCAGGAGCTCAGTGAACCGTAAGTAGTATTTTTAAGAAGATCCACTTTGAGACACATTATAACCAAACTGTTGAAAAACAAGGAATCCTGAAGTCAGCAATAGAGAACTGACTTGTCACATACAAGGGATCTTCAATAAGATTAACATCTGATTTCTTGTCAGATACCATAAAGGCTAGAAGGCAGTGGGATGACATATTCAGTGTGCTGCAAAAAGAAATGTTAACAGGAATCCTATATCTGGCAAAATAGTCTTCAAAAATGAAGAAGTTAACACATTCCTGGGTGAACAAAAATTGAGACAGGTTCTTGCTAGTAGACCTTTCATGTGAGAAATGCTAAAGAAAGTCCTTCAAACTGAAATGAAAGGATACTGGACAGTAATTCAAATCCACCTGAAGAGATGAAGCATTGGTAAAGATAAACATAGGTAAATATAAACATCAGTATTAATATATATTTTTTGGTTTGTAGCACCTCTTTTTTTCCTATATGATTTAAAAGATAATTGCACCAAACAAGGATTATAACACTGTGTTGATGGGCACAAAATGTATAAGGACGTGATTTGTGACAATAACAACATTAAAGGCAGGTGATGGAGCTATATAGGACATATATAGAGAGACAAAGCTTTTGTATACTATTGAAACGGTATTAATTCAAACTGGACTTATAAATTAAGATGTTAATGTAATCCCAGAAAATAACAAAAACAGTAAAAGAAAGGAGAAGGAATCAAGTGGTACACTTGAAACCATCTAACATAAAATGTGGCAATAATGGAGGAATTAAGGAGCCCAAAAATTACGACATAGAAAACAAATAACAAAATGGTACAAGTCTTTATTTATTAGTAATTACTTTAAATATAAATGGAGTAAATGCTCCAATTAAGAGGCAGAGATTGGCAAAGGACATTATATCCTAATAAAATGGTTAACCCATCAAAATATAACAGTTATAAACATATATGCTTCTAACAATAGATCCCCAGAAAGTTTGAAACAGACTGACAATTGAAGGGAGAAATAGCCCCAACAATAATAGTTGGAGACTTCAACACTTCACTTTCCCTGTTGGATAGAATAATTAGACAAAAGATAAACAAGGAAACAGAAAACTTGAACAGCACTATAAATCAACTAGACCTAAGAGACATATATAGAACTGTCCACCCAACAAGAGAATATGCATTCTTCTTAAGTGCACATGGAAAATTCTCCAGATAGACCACAAAAGAATCTAAATAAATTTTAGAAGATTCAAACCACACGGAGTATCTTCTATGACCAAAATGGAATGAAATTTAAAAGAAGCATCAGGAGGAAATCTGGAAATTTTACAAGTAGGTGAAAACTAAACATACTTAAAAAGAACAGTGAGTTAAAGAAATGAGAAATTAAGAAATACTTTGAGGTTAATTAAAATGAAAGCCCCAAACTTATGGGATGCAGTGAAAGCAGTGCTCAGAGGGAAATCTATAGCTGTAAATGCCTACATTAAAAAAGAAAAAAAAAATCTCAAATCAGTAGCCTAACCTCCCACTTTAAGGAATTAGAAAAAGAAGAGCAAACTAAACCCAAAGCAACCAGAAAGAAGGAAATAATAAAGATTAGAGTGCAGATAAGCAAAATAGAGACTAGAAAAACAATAGAATCAATGAAACAAAAGCTTCTTCAAAAAGATCAACAAAATTAACAAACCTTTAGACTGACAGGAAAAGGAGAGAGGAGACTCAATTACTAAAATCAGAAATGAAAGTGAGGACATTACTAACAGCTTCATAGAAGTAAAAGGATTATAAGAAAATACTGTTAACAACTGTATGCCAACATATTAGATAACCTAGATGAAATGGGGAAATTCCTAGAAACACACAAAGTCTGAAATTTGACTCAAGAAGAAATAGAAAGTCTGAATAGACCTATAAGAAGGATCAGTAATCAAAAACTCCCAACGAGGAAAAATCCAGAACCAGGAGCCTTCACTGGTGAATTCTATCAAACATTTAAAGAAAAAGTAACACCAATCCTTCTCAAACTCTTTCCCCCCAAATAGAGGGGGAAACACTTCCTAACTCATTCTGTGAGACCAGTATTACCCTGATACCAAAGCCACAAGAAATGTGCAAAAAACCTCAGTGAAATACTATCAGACTGAATCTAGCAGTATATTATAAGGATTATCCAGCATGAACAAGTGGGATTTATCAAAGGAATACAAGGAGCATTCAATATGTAAAAAATAAATCAATGTAATACATATTGACAGAATGAAGGGGGATAAAAACTACATGATGATCTCAATTGATGCAGAAAAAGCATTTGCGAAAACCCAACATCTTTTCACATATAATAATAACAAACCTAAGAAACTAAAAACAGAAGGAAAATCTATCAACCTGAAATAAAGGGCATCTACGAAAAGCATACCCAATGGTGAAAAAATAAAAGCTTTTCCTTGAGATCAAGAACAAGACAAAGATGTCTGCTATTGCCACTACTACTCAACATTGTATTGAAAGTTATAGCCAGGGTAATTAGGCAAGAAAAAGAAATAAGAGGCATCCAGATTGGAAAGTAAGAAGTAAAACTCTATCCACAGATTACATAATCTTATATATAGAAAATCCTAAAATATCCACAGAAAACCCATTAGAGCTAGTAAACAAATTCAGCCAAGTTGCAGAATAGGATACGCGATCAACCAAAAAAGTCGTTTATATATCCATGCACTAGCAATGAACAATCTGAAAGTAAAATTAAGAAAACAATTCCATTTACAGTCATTGCAAAAGGAATAAAATAAGGATAAATTTAACCAAGGTGGTGTAAGACTTTACCCTGAAAAATACAAAAACTACAAAACATCCTGTGTTCATGGATTGGAAGACTTAGTATTGTGGAAATGGCAATACTCTAAAAACTGCTCTACAGATTCAATCTAATCCATATCAGAATTCCAACTGCCTTTTGCTGATGTGGACAGGCTGATCCTAAAACTCATATGGAATTGCAAGGAACTCTTCCTCAAATAGCCAAAACAGTCTTGGAAAAGAACAAAAAAGTCAGGGAACTCATACTTAATTTTAAAACTTAGCACAAAGCTATAGTAATTCAAACTGTGATACTGGCATAAAGACAGACATACAGAACCATGGGATAGAATTGAGAAGTAAACCTAAACGTTATGCTCAATTGATTTTTGACAGGGTGCCAGGACGGTTCAGTGGGGAAAGAATATTCTCTTCAACTAAGTGCAAGTAATGAAGCTGAATCCCTACCTCACACCACATACAAACATTAACCTAAAATAGATTTTAAAAACTAAATATAAGAGCTAAAGCTACAAAAATCTTAGAAGACAGGATTAAATGATTCATAACCTTGGATGTGGTAGTGGATTCTTAGATATGACACCAAAACAAGAAGGAACAAAACAAAGATAAATTGGATTTCATCAAAACTGTTGTTTCAAAGGACACTGTAAAGAAAATAAAAAGACAACCCAGAATATGAGAGAAAACATTTGTAAATCATATATCTGATAAAAACCTAGTATCCACAATACATAAAGAACTCTTACAACTCAACAGCAAAAAGACAACCTAGTTTTTAAAATGGGCAAAGGATTTGAATAGACCTTTCTCCAAAAAAGACATACAAGTGGCCGCCAAACACATGAAAAGATGCTCAGCATCACTAGTCATTAGGTAAATGCAAATTAAAACCACGAGATGACCACTTCACACCTAGTGTGATGCCTATAATCAATAAGATGTGTAGGGGAGGATAAGGAAAAAATGAAAACCTTATATATACATTGCTGGTAGGAATGTAAACTGGGACAGTTGCTATGCAAAAACAGTTTGGTTGTTCTTCAGAAACTTAACATAGAGTTACTATTTGACTCAGCAATTTCATCCTTAACTATAGACCCAAGAGAAATGAAAACATATATCCACACAAACTTATACATGAATGTTCATAGCATTATTCATAATAGCCAAAAGGTGCACACAACCCAAATATCCACTGATTTGATGAATGGATGAATAAAATGTGATATATCCATAAAATGGAATATTATTATTCAGCCATAAACAGGAACGAGGTACTGATACATGCTACAACATGGACGAACCTTGAAAACATTATGCTAAGCGAAAAACAGTTAAACACAAAAGGCTTTGTGTCTGACACAATCATACACAAAAATGTATGATTCCATTTATATGAAATGTCCAGCATAGGCAAGTCCACAGAGAAAGAAATATTAGTGGTTTCCAAGGGAGGATGGGAGGGGGAATGGGAAGTGACTGCTTAATGGTACAGGGTTTCTTTTGGGGGTGATGAAAATTTCTGGCATTAGAAGGTGGTGATGACTACACATTATGAACCCACTGAATTTGTACTGTTTTAAATGGTTAAAATTTTGAATTTTATCTCAACAGAAACATTTTTTAAAACTTTAATGTGCACACAGATTCCCTGGGGATCTCATTAAAATGTAGATTCTGATTCAGGAGGTCTGGGCAGGGCCCCGAATTCTGCATTTTTGATAAGCTCCCAGGTGACACCCCTGTTGTTCACCTACAGCCACATTTTGAGTAACAAGTTTACTCAAAGGGCCCTTCCACTGTGCCGCCTTAACGATTCTGCATCTCAGGTGCCTCACCTCTTGAAGTAACTCCTGCCCTGTCCACCCCTATAAATAAGGAGAGCGGAAGTACAGGTCTGAGCCTGCAGGGGGTGTGAGCCTCAGCGCATGGGAGCAGATGGAGAAGGGGCTGTGGCTGCGGGGGTCACTGTCAGCAGACACAGAGGGGACCAAAGGAGTAGCTTTTATTTTGCACAAAGCTGAGGACGGCAGGCCAGAGCTCACGGCTCTGTTCTCAGAGGAGAGCTGTTGTATCACTGCCAGCTGTTGGGTGGCTCCTGCTCTGGTGCTGAGAGGCGATCTGAAAGAAAGGGGGCGGCCTCGGAGTGAGCAAACAGGGTGCTGAAGGCTGCCTGCCCTCCCCTCCCAGTCCCCTGGGGACTCCTGTGCCAGGACGCAGGGCTCGAGGGAGCAGGTGGCAGTCCCTCCACTGCCAATGAGAGGGATGCCAGGCTTTCCTGATAGGGTTTGGTGGCGGCAGAGGAGTAGAAGGGAGATGGGTAGGAGCTGTGACGTGTGTAAATGGCCAGGGAAGGAGGCAGCCGCTCTGAGTCAGGGTGGTGCTGAGAGTGGAACTCTTCCAGGTGCCCTTACCCGATGCTAGGCTGCAGCAACCCCGGGCGTGGGGGCAGAGAACACTTGGGGTGAGCCCGGAGGATGCCTCCCACTTCTGTCCCAAGGAGGAGCTGGAGCCTCCCTGGCTTGTCCAGGCTACACCATGGGGGTGGAGCAGCCATCCCCACCCTGCTGCCCAGCCCTGGAGGCTGTCATCTCTGCTACCTGAGCTGCTCACCGGCTCCTCTGCGAGGTCGGGGATCAGGCTGAAGGGGCCCGGGAGCAGATTCCAAGCCAGCTCCTCCAGCTGAGCCAGCAAGCCTTTCACTTCTGCCTCCAGGTGCTCCACTGTCTTCTCCACCGTCTAAAGCAAGGAGAGAAGTTGGGGGAGGAGTAGAGGACAAGAGTGGTGACAAGTCCCACTTAATCAGCCACATCCTAAGGAGCACCTGGAAGTCCAGTAGGGTGTGGTGGGGGAGAGAACTGGGTGCCAGGGGACCTGGGTCCTCTTGATTGAGGCCCTGCCCTTGCCTGCCTCTCAGCTCCCCAGATAACAAATTCCTAGGAGCTCACTCTCTAAGGCTGCTCGCTCCTGCCTCTGGCACTCGGGTGTTACCCAGTCATTGGTTTGGGGCTTGGAGGGACTCTGGGCTTCTTTTTTCCATTTCAGGGTGTCACCACTGGGAGCTCACATTCCTTTTGTTACCCCGCCCCCTGGTGGCAATTCTGCCAAATGACAGTATTGGGATTTTGAAATTTTCTTTATTCAGGGTTCTTAACTTTTTTCACAAATGAGCCCCATTAGCAGTCTGGTGAAACCTGCAGACCGCCATCAGAAAAATGCTTTCATTGAGAAAAATAAAACATACAGGATTTCCAAGGGTATAAACTGCAGTAAAATACTATTAAACTATAAAAATTAAATTTTGATATAAACATTTATCTATTTATTAACTCATTTAACACCAGGTCTAACAACTACTGAAATTTTTTTTTCTTTTTTTTTTTTACTACTGAAATTTTGACATACTGATAGTAAACAGTATATTGAGATATTCACAATGACTATAATAGGATGAAATTATCTGTGATTTCTATTGCCGACAAAGTCACAGTACTGTTAATACTCCTGCAGTTTGTTGTCTGTATTTATAGTGAATGAGAATGCTAAATCTCGGCTAAAGGTTTGTGAAAATGAAGTGCAATTTTTTTTCCCCACACAAGTTTATGGACCCCAGGTTACAAACCGTGGCTGTGTAACAAAACACTGCAATAGAATTTCCACCTTCTCATCTGGTGATTATGGGGAGATCTCTGGCTGGTGGGAAGCAAGGTCCTGGGGAGGCAGGGTCTGTTGGGGGCTGGACAGCCTAACAGCCCAGGTAGGGCAAGGAGATGTTTAACATAGTGGCCAGGGAACAGGGTTGGCCCAGATTTCCCCAACTTTCCAAAGCAAGATTGGCCTGAACCCTCCAAAGCCACCAGCCTGGCAGGTGGTCCTGAAGCTGCATGCCCTCTCAGGTCACCCTCATTACCTCCTCTATGACGTCTAACCGGCCATGGACAGCCATGTGTCTGTCACACCCTGCAGTCCGAGCTGGGTCTCCTCGGGAGGGGATGAAGGGTTCAGCAGCTGTAGGAAAACAAGTCTTGTCACTGTGGGGCCCTCGGTTTCCCTGTAACATTAGAGACTCCTGCAAACATGGGGCTCAAGGGAGGTGGGTCCTAAAAACAGTCCAAAGAGAAGCAGAGGAAGGCTCAGTGTGGATCAGGGTGTGAGTGTAGGGTTGCCCCACTCACTCACTTGGCCATGGTCTCCTACAGACCCAAGTAGGCTTCCTTAAGGAGGTGCTGCCTGAACTGGGTAAGAAAAGGAAGGGAGGAAAGGTTTCAGCCAGAAGGAACGGCATGTGCAAAGATAGGAATGAAATAGCATGGCTCAGTGCACAAACCCTCAGGAAGCCTGAAGTGGCTGGAAAGTACAGGGTGGGTGGGAGTTGAGACTGGAGAGGTGGATCGTGGAAACAAGGCCGGGCCCTAATAAACCAATCACAATGCTTGTTTTGGGGTTTATTTCAACAGGAGAGTCATGCAGTCATATGTGAATTTTTAAAATACAGAGAATGGATTGGAGAGATTCGTCTTAGAAGGCAGGAAGTTACTGCAGTAATCAGCGTAAGAAGTGATGAAAGGAGGCAGTAACCGTAGGAAGAGAGGAAGAAAATGCATGGAGATATTGTAGTCATAGTAATAGTAATTGACATTGGTGACCAGTTAGTAATATCTGACACGAGTGAGTGCTAAACAAATGCGTTAACTCAGTCAACCTCTACAACCAATTATTACCCCCAATTTACACATGAGGAAATTGATGCACAGAAAGGTGAAATGATACGTCTAACGTCACACAGCTAGTAAGCGGAATATCTGAGGTTCAGTTTGTTCAACATCATTTTCCTCCCCAACGTTGGCTCCTCCTTGGTTCCTCACACCACCAACCTTCACACCGGAAGTCTTAGAGCCCGGGCTTTGAGCTCAAGTTGCAGTATTGGTGGCTCTGAGATAACCTGCAGGGCGTCTGAGTTGGCTGAGTCCTCGGAGAACATGGACACACAGAAAGGAGGATGCTGCCCCAGAAGCAAGGAGAAGCCAAGAGCTTTCAAAAGGATGAAGCAGTCAGCATGGCCTAAAGCAGCATGGAGGTCTAGCAAGATAAGGACTCGGAGCAACAGAAAAGTGGATGCTGAATGCCGTCCCAGCGCTTTTAGTGGAGAGGTGCCGACAGAGCAAAGTCTAGTCGCAGTGGGATGAGAAGGGAAGGAAAAGTCAGGAGGAGGAAACTAAGATCCTAGAAAACATTTCCATGAAGCCTGGCTGTGAAGGAAGGGAGATCAGATCACAAGGTGATCTAAAGCAGTGTTTATTGTTGTTGTTTCCAGGTTTTTAAGCATTGAAGAAATGCAACCATGCTTATAGCCTGAGGACAGGAGGAAGCCAGAACTGAAAGAATGCATTTCCCGAAGAGATGTGAGGCCACGGAATCCAGAAATGGTGGTGGGGGTAGGGGTCAAATGTGGAAGGAAGGAAGAGAGAGGAAACGCAGCAAAAATGGGTAAAAAAGTTCTACTTAAAGGGCCAAGAAGTTGAGGGAGTCCCATCTGATGGCCTCCGTTCACTCGGTAAAGTAAGAGGGGAATCATCTGCTGAAAATTCGTGTAGGGTTAGGAAAGGAAAGCGAGTTGTGAAGTATTATCAGGAATTCTGTGAGTGGGTTGTTGGACACAGCCACTAAAATGGGAGCCGTGGTGAAAGTATTTCCACCATGGAAACTGACAAATGCTTTTTTTTGTTTTCCGAAAGCCAGTGTATCAGCCCACCCCTGGGTAAGAAGCTTGAATAAAGAGGGGGCTCCAAAAGGGGATGAGGAGAATGAGGAAGGCGGTTAGGAGGATGATGCAGAACAACCTGACATCACAAGGAAGCCCGCCCGCAGCAGCTCAGCAGGTGGGTGTCAGCAGCAGAGACAGATGGCTGATGAGCTGAAACCTGGGAGTCTGTGGCATGAGTGCGGTGAAGAGCAAGAGTGCAGAGGAACTGAGGATTCGACCAGCAAGGGCTTAAGGGGACGAGCTCGGGCATCTAGCTTGAATAACGAAGGAGAAGGCAATAAGAGGGCCAATAATTGGGAGAAATGGAAGGGCTGAGGGCACTGCAGATCTCAGTGAGATGATGGGAGTAACAGAAGGAACAAGTGATAAGGGATATTGCAATTTCAGCTTTTAGAGGTAGAGCAGCTTCACAGTGACAATACCAAGGCTGTGGGCATCTGAAGCAGAGCAGGGGTAAGAGTTTTTGGACTTGATCTTTGTAGATGCAAAACTCTTGTAAGACTTCGATGTTGGCTGGGTTGCCCGAGGTTGGCAGGTCTTGGGGTAAGGATAGTGAGCTATTTTGCTGGTGATGAATGTATAACTCTGAAGGCTGAGTGACTTGTCTAAGATCACACAGTCAGCAAACGACTGGACCCCAGGCACCCTGGCCTTCCCCTGGCCCCACCTCAGCCAGCTGGCCTTCTGGAGCTCTGTCAGAGTCCCCATGCCCTGCGAGTCCCTGGTCTCAACTCTCTCTGGATCTCAGCTCTTCCACTCAGGGGCGAGAACCAAGGCAGGGGCAAAACTTCCTTCCACTCTGAGCATCTTTTGTGGAGAACAGTTTGGGTTTTTACATTCTCCCCTTCATTATGTCCATCCACTGAACTTAGAAAAACCTGTTCAAAAAACAATGGTGGATTTCCCTGGTGGCACAGTGGTTAAGAATCCACTTGCCAATGGAGGGGACATGGGTTCGAGCCCTGGTCCGGGAAGATCCCACATGCCGCGGAGCAACTAAGCCCATGCGCCACAACTACTGAGCCTGCGCTCTAGAGCCCGCGAGCCACAACTGCTGAGCCCACGTGCCACAACTACTGAAGCCCGCACGCCTAGAGCCTGTACTCCACAACAAGAGAAGCCACCACAATGAGAAGCCCACGCACCACAAGGAAGAGTAGCCCCTGCTCGCCGCAACTACAGAAAGCCCGCACGCACCAACGAAGACCCAACGCAGCCAAAAATAAATAACTTTAAAAAAAACAATGGTCTTGGGACTTCTCTGGTGGGCCAGTGGTAAAGAACCCACCTTCCAATGCAGGGGATGCCGGTTCGATCCCTGGTCGGGGAACTAAGATCCCACGTGCCGTGGGGCAACTAAGCCTGCACGCCACAACTACCGAGCTCGTGTGCCTCAACTAGAGAGCCTGCGTGCCGCAAAACTACAGAGCCCACGCACCACAACTACAGAGCCTGTGCACCGCAACGAAGATCCTGCGTGCCGCAGCTAAGACCTGATGCAGCCAAAAGAAAAAAAGAAAGAAAATAAATAAGTATTTAAAAAAACAACAACAATGGTCTTGTTGACTTTAGGGAGGGAGGGGATGTTATAACTTTGGTTATTTTTTTTAAGGGAGCCTTTTAGAGATCTATGCTGAGCATATTTATAGGTAAAATGCTATGATGTCTTGGCTTTACTTCAAAATAACCCAGGCCTGGGAGTGGGAGGAGGCATGGGTGGGAGTATTGAGCAAACAAGATTGGCCAAGATTGGTAACTGTTGAAACTGGGTGATGTGGACATGGGGTTAACTCTGCTATTCTCTCTACTTTTGTATGTATGGTTTGAAATTTTCCATAATAAAAGCCAGTTCTCTGATGGGGTTGTTAGCAAAAAGCAGAAGCCACGGGCTTCGTGCATTGATACAAAATGTTCAGGATGGGTGTCGGGGGGTGGGTGGTCTGAGAGACCCCACCTGGAGGGCTGCGCTCCATTCTGGGCTATTCATCGTGAGAAGGCTTTCGACAGGCAGAGGCAGGGCTAAAGGTGGCCACCGTGAAGGGAGTCCAGATTTTGACTCCTTTGTGCCAGCTGAAAAAACTGGGGTGCTCAGCTAGAGAGAAAAGATTTCGAGGGGGCAGGCAGAGTTGTTTTCACCCAAATAGAGGGCTGTCAGGGAAGAGGGGGTCTGTCTCGGTCTAGGTCCGGGCCCACACACACCCTCTGCAAGCTCCACCCAGGGGCCTTAGGCCAAGACGTTCCCCTGAGTCCCACCTGCCCCCTCCCAGACCCTAAAGTACTCTTCCCCCTCCTCCCAGCTTAGGCCAAGAGGAAGCAACATGACCCTGCCGGCCAAGTGGGGCTCTGCCAGCTCTGGAAGTCACGAACAACATGAATCTGCTCCCTCCCTCAGCCTAAAACACCCTGTTCTCTACGTGTCAGCGATGAGGGCTCACTTGGCTCCCAAACCCCTCCAGGGAAGAGGTTGGGCTGAGGTTGCTCTCCAAATCACACAGCACTAATGCATCACATCTGGACGCAGCTGCGCCCTGGGCTGCACTGCACAACCGTCCATGAGCTCATCCAGGCCTCCGGAGGAGCTCTGCTGAGAGAGAGCTGGGGCAGAGCCAGGCCACCCTGTGCTGCGGCTCCCTCCCCCACGTGGGTGCTCATGGCATTGACCTCAGCGCATGATGGCAGAAAACACACTGCAGACCTCCGTTCCCAGCCATGAATTGGTGCGGGGCCGTGGGAACTTTCTTCTCCCTGAGCCTCTGCTGCCTCCTCTGCAACACGGGTTTGGGGATGGAGGCGGAGGCACTGCCAGACGCAGCTCATCCAAGGTTTGCCTCTGTCTTTCAGGCCTCAGAAATTAGCTACAAAGACCGAACCAGGATGAGTCAAGGACATGTTGCTTCTTGGCCCAGAAGCTCCCGCAAGGCAAGAACTGGGCAAGGGCTCCCTTTGCTTCACGCTTCCTCACCAGTAGAAAGGGGCTCACGATAACGCCAGTTTCACGGGGCTTTGGGGAAGCTTAGACCAGAGGAAGAGTGGGGGAAGCTGAAGGATTATCACGACTGACCATGAGCGGCCAAGGCTGTGGTTCCCGGTGCTCCCTTCCCTCCTTCGCTCCCGCCCTCCCTGACCTGGCCAGTTGGGAAATGGACCTTCTTTTTTTTTTTTTTTTTTTTTGAAATGGACCTTCTTGGATGCAGGGTTGTTTTCTCTGGCCTGGCTTCCGCTCAGGGCCTATGCGCACCCCGGATGGCGGGCGTGGATGGAACATGGTGAGAGCAGGCTGCCAGTGGAGACGGGAGGCCCAGTGCAGGCACCAGTTAAAGGGACACGGCCACTGGGCCTCCCCCCCACCCCTCCCACTGACAGGCATAGGAGACCTTTTGTTTCTGGATCCGAACACTAAGAAGGCGCACACAACTCAAAGGATTTCTGACCCTGAAAGGTGCTGCTTTGACCAGCCACACTTGGCACTTGGGGGTTAATTCTATTTGACCACAGTCAATATAATAGTCTAATAAATTTGACCACATTTGATATTTGTATTAAAATTTGTGCTTCATTCCAAACCATCAGTATTTTTTTGTTTTTTGTTTTTTTTAAATCAGAAGAACACTATTTTCAAACAACTATATGAAGAACTCTAGTCTATGGATGTGCTCTGGCTGAAACAGGAGAGGGACACTTGAGGCCCCTAAGAGGGAGCTCAGATGCTAAGGAACATTTTTGTTTTGTTTTGGGAGTGATACGTTCTGTCTCCCTTGTTCTCTGGTCATTTTCCAGATGTGGATTTGAGCCTTGCCGATCACTCTGAGAGCTTACCAATGTCAGTCCAATACAGTCGGCGTCTGGGTAAGTGAGGATACAAGCTGAGCTGCTGCAACAAAGAGTCCCCCTCAATCACACGTGTGTTTATTTCTTTCTCACATATCAGTTCAGAGGTGGACTGGCTGATGGTCAGGGCTGGCAGGCAGCTCCGCTCTCCAAGGCCATCCAGGAAACCAGATTCCTTCTACCTTGGAATATGGTGATTTATAATCCACTGGGTTATAAAGTACTAGAACATTCCTAAACCCCCACCATGCTGAGGTCTAGGAAGCCATCCAGGATAAACCTCTCTCCACACACTGTCTGGGACTCACAAGTCTGGGAGTCAGAGGCACGGTCCCACCTCCACTGAACTGTGTTCTTTGCCTCTGACTCAGCTTCGTCTGTGAGGGATCTGCCCTGCTCTGTCTACTTGGTGGGACTGCTGTGCTGATCCAAGGGGATCCTGCATTTGAAGTTGCCTTGGAACCGCCAGATGATGTGCAAATGCCATGTAGGTCATTCACCAGGTGGACTGGAGACTAAGCAGGTCAGTGAAAGCCCCTGCAGCCCCGCCTCTCCACCCGGAGCCAGTGCTTTTCACTAGATCACTCTGACCAGGTCTCCTCAAGACGGGGAGGCACCTGCTCTAGGACTATACCTGTGCAGGAGTCCAAGGGATGCTTGGGAGGGGCTTCTCCGACAAGCAAACAGAGGGCTCAGGGCTGACCGGGCTCTCTGGGCTCTGCTACAAGCCAATCCCACTTGCTGGATCCTTAGTTTCTTCACCTTTAGAATGGGCACAACCACACTCTATATTTGAAGCTACTGTCAATTTGTGATCAGTTATTCTGGGCCAAGCTTTTTGTTGAGTGCTTACATGCATTAACTCATTTAATTCTATCTGTGAGCTCAGTACTCTTACTTATCAGTTTTTTATAGATTAGAAAACCAAAGATCAAAGAGGTTGAGTAACATGCCCAGGACTACACTGCTAGTAGGTAGTAGGGACAGGATTTGAATCCTACCTGCAAGACACTGTCTCTACTATGTTCTGGCAGTTCTGTGATGAGTTAAGGGCCTCCTATCTTGGGGGGTCTCAGCTTCCTCCTTTGTAAAATGAGGGGCTGGACAGGAATGGGGCAAAGGGGACCTATACACATGACATCTTTGCACCTGTCTTGAGGCCCAACAAGAGCCCAACTGTGTACGTTGAATCAGATTGTCTTTGAGAGGTTCCCTCCCCACAACATCCATTTTTGTAAGAAGAAATGCAGTGATCCTCACCACAGCCCTTCAGCGTCTTCCTCTTCCACCCAAAGCAAAAAGCAGAAGCCCAATGGAAGACAGATGTCCACAGAGACCTGGAACGGTGGTGGACAGTGAGAGCTTCCCCCCGTGGGCCCCAAGGCATGGGTGAGAATGGCTAATAGGACTAGGCTCTAGGACTTGATATCCCTCTGATAGTAAAATAGGAAAGGAGATTAACTGAAGCCTTAACTTAAAAAAAAAAAAATTCTCTACAAGTAGCATAAGACAGTCTGCTTCACTCAACACATAAAGAACTTTTATAGATTGATATGAAAAAATCCCACTACCACGATGGAAAAGTCTAAGACAATTCACAAGAATTAGCAGAAATGACCAATACGCCTTTGAAGAAAAATCCAACTTTGGTAGTAATCAAAGAAATGAAAATTAAAGCAATAAACCATCTTAAAGTATTCTTGCAAAAAAAAAATCTAATTGGAATTAGCTGAAGCGTCTAGATCTAACTACCAGTTTATAGACAATATAGGGGAGAGAACAATTTAAATGACACCTGGGGGATGCAATCAGCTAAAATTTAAATGGGAAAAACTTTATAAGACTAACAACCCAGTTTCTTCAAATAAATTTTAAGAAAAAAGAGGGGAAAAAGTACTAAAGAAACTTAAAACTCACTAAAAGAAACTTAACAGATATATCAACCAAAAGCAATGTGTGTACCTTATTTGGATCAAACAAACCAAATATAAAAACATCACACAATCAGGGACAGTTGAACGCTGATTGGATTTTTGATGACATTATGGAATTATTGTCCATTTTTAGGGAGTGATAATGGTATTGTTATTAAAAGATTATTTATCTTTTAGAAATACATAAGGCAGTACTTACAGATAAAAATATATAATGCCTGGAATTTCCTTTAAAATAATCTAAGGGAGGGGAGAGAAGGTAGGGATAATAGATGAATCCAGATCTGTCAGGAATCCATTCTTGTTGAAACAGAGTGATGGGCACATGGTGGTTCACTATACTATTCTTTTTATTATTATTACTCTTTTTCAAATTCTTTTCCCATTTAGGTTGTTAAATAATATTGAGCACCGTTCCCTGTACTGTACAATAGGTCCTTGTTGGGTATCCATTTTAAATACAGCAGTACGTACATGTCACTCCCAAACTCCCTAAGTATCCCTCCCCCACCTCCCAACCATAAGTTCGTCGTTCTCTAAGTCTGTGAGTCTGTTTCTGTTTTGTAAAGTTCATTTTTATCATTTTTTTTAGATTCCGCATATAAGCAATATCATATTTGTCTTTCTCTGACTTACTTCACTCAGTATGACAATCTCTAGGTCTCTATTCTGTGTTTATAGCCAACAGATTTGATAATCAACAGTTAAGAAAAACCATGGTATATTGTCTGAAGTCTGAAAGGTTATACACAAAAATGTGTGAACTCAGTGTGAAATTACATTAATATGTTTATACTCTCCTCTTTTTTTTTTCTTAATCTGGAGCAATGAGGATGATCAGGAGGAAAATAATGTTTAAAAATGGCTTTAAGCTAAAATGTATATACCAGTCATAGCTAAAGGGGCCACAAAAAGTCTGCCACTGTGGGCGGCCAGCTCCTCCCTCTGGGGGAGCACAGACTCGGCTTTGTCCCCTCAGCTCCTGGAGGTGGGGACTCCAGGCAAGATGGGGCAGGGCGGGGAGGCAGAGAAAAAGGACAGCACCTGGGCCGGGCTCTGTGCTGCATGGTCCCAGCCACTCCTCACACAGCCTGTGAGGAAAGGGTTGTTGGTCCTCCTTAGCCAACCTCAGTGAAAAACTGGGCCTCAGAGAGCTCAGCGGAGCTGTCCGAGGGGACGAGGGAAGGAGACAATGTGTGTTGACAGATGTTCCGTGCTGGGTACTTCCCTTTCATCCAGCTCTGCTGGTGGGTACCATTCTCCCCACGTTACAGAAGAGGAAATAGCTTCAGAGAGGTGACATGACTCACCCAAGTTCACTCAGCCAGGGGCTGCCCAGGATCAAGACTGGCCTCAACCCTTTCCCTGGATGCCCACTCCCACAGTTCCCTGTGCCTGAAAGGGGCTGGGCCAGAGGTCAGGGGAGCTTCCATCTTAACACAGGGCAGGGTGACTCACAGCCACCGGCTCCAGGTTGATGGGGGAGCAGCCTTAAGTGTGGACAAGGGCCTGGCTGAAGGGGTAGGGTCCCTGGATGCCTGGAGAGACTGAGCCTTCCCCTCGCCCGTTCAACTGGGATGGGCATCAGCTGCCTCTGGTTGAGGCCAGCAAGAGACCTTGGGTAAATGGGAACGTGGCGTGTAAAGTGCTGTATCAAGTGCAGTCTTGGGGTGGTGGAAGGAACACCTGTGCATACAGTCAGTCCCTCTGCAGCCACCTTGTCCGAGCCTCACCGGTGAAGGGGCAGCACTAAGACTGCTGTCAGGGAAGGGTAGAAGGGACAGGGCACGGCAAGGAGCCCAGCCAGTGAAGCATCCAGAGGGCCTCTCCCTCCCGCAGCCTCCTCCCACCCACCCAAGGCAGCTCAGGCCCTCAGGGAAGCTCTCCAAAAGGCTGACAACTGGCCGCCTCCACAGACTGCAGAAGCCCCTCAGACTACCTGGCAGGTAAAGCCGTGGCCTCCAGGGGCCTCCTGCCTGGGCCCTGACCGGCTGTGCTGGGCCAGGCCTGGGCGCCTCTGCAGGCCCTCTGGGCAGGGCTGGTCTGGAGGGTGGGGAGCTGGGGCTGCCCCACCCTGCAGACTTGACCTTCCACCTTGTGATCCTGGTCTCCTCCTCTCTTTCCCGTCGACCTGGGGCAATGGGTTTCTCCACTCCCTCTCTCCTTTTTTGTCTCTCTCAAATCGGCCTCTCTTCCTCAGTATCCTCTCACCCTTTCTCTCTCCCCCACCCCCTTTCTCTTGCCATTTTAGTTCCTCTATTTCCTTCCTTCTTGTTCCGTTTGCCTCTCAAACTGCTTTTTCTCTCTATCCTCCTCATTCATAGTTCAGACCCATCTGTCTACCTCCAAAGTTTCTTTCTGTCCCAGCCTCTCCCTTGCTCTCTGTATTCTTCCCTCTCTCCTTTGTAATTCTCTCTGTTCCCCTGCCTTTATCTCTCTGCCTTTTTTTGTCTCCATCTTTCTCTGCAATTTCTCTCACCATCTATCTATCTCTCTCCCTCCCTGCATCTCCCTCTCTCCATCCCTCTCCATCTGGCTTCGTTCCCATCTCCCTCCCTCTTCCCTCCCTCTCTCCTGCTCCTTCCTCGCGGTCCGCGGCCTCCCCGACCCCCGCCCTGCGTCCGGGCCCCACTCACCGGTGAAGGCACCCGAGGCGCGGAGCAGGGCAAGCCCGGCCAGCGCGCAGAGCAGGGGCCGCATGCTGCCGGCTGGCGGAGCGCAGCGCCGCGTCTGCCCGCTGCCGCCCTCCCCGCCCTCCCCGGGATCGCGCCGGCCCGCCCGGGAGGAAATGCTCGCAGTCCCCGCCAAGATTCCTGGGCGGCTCCGGGCTTTCTGGCTCGAGCGAGCCCGCCCCCTCCAGAGACCCCGCGGGCGGAGGGGCGACGCGCCAGGCTGAGCGCCTCCCCTGGGAGGGGCCGCGCTCTGAGCCGCCGCGCCTCCCCCGGGCCCGAGCGCAGCAGAGTGGGCGATGCAGCCAGGGGTCCAGTGCTCCGTTATGAGCCCATTTCACAGACGGGCGGACTGCAGTTTGGAGAGAAGTGGCACCCACACCTGTGGCATGGGATCTGAATTCCTGACTGCACGGGGTGTGGAAGCTTTTCTCTGCCCACCAGGAACAAGTAAGCAACTCTCATGACATCGGAGAGAGTGTTCAGCACATACTTAAGGTCTGTACGAGTTAGTGTTAGGTAAACTTTGGAGGGGGGAGAAAACGAAATTATTCACATGTCTGCACTTGAGGAGTTCGTGGTCTAGTGACCACCCCAGTATGAATGAACAGTAACTAAGCTTTGTTTGATTTATTCTACATACACCATCTCTCTGATCTTCACTGCACCCCCATCAGGAGTGCATCATTACGTCCATTCTGCAGACCAAGAAATTGAGGCTCAGAGATGTTAAGAGCCTTGCCAATAGTCACACACTTGGTGTAATGTGGAGTCAGGATTTGAATCCAGTTCTGTTATTGGTAGATAATAATATATTGATACAACGTATTAGTGAGAGCCGGGTTCTTTCTCCATTCTAAGCAAACCCAGAGTAAGAGCTGGGTGGGTTTTTCAGTTAACTTCAAATCATCACCACCTCCCTCCAGCTTAAAGAACAGTAGTTGGGGGCTTCCCCGGTGGCGTAGTGGTTGGGAGTCCGCCTGCCAATGCAGGGCACACGGGTTCGTGCCCCGGTCTGGGAGGATCCCACATGCCGCGGAGCGGCTGTGCCCGTGAGCCGTGGTCGCTGGGCTTGCGCGTCCGGAGCCTGTGCTCCGCGACGGGAGAGGCCACAGCAGTGAGAGGCTCGCGTACCGCAAAACAAAAAAAAAAAACAGTAGTTGAACCTTCACCTATGGGACACACCCACTCAACAAGTGAAAAAAAAAAAAGTTAAGATTGGGAAAGCAAAAGCCACAGCCCTAACATCTGCACTGCAGAGCCTTGAGTGCATGTCCTGGCTGCCAGTGGAGCCCCTTCATCGCCAAGCCCAGGAGTATGTTTTTATCCATCAAGGGGCCCCTTTAGGGTTAACTGGAGCCCTTGCAGATCAAGGCTGCACCTCTGCCTTCTCTATTACAGACTGTGGCTGTGCAATTGTACAAATATAGCCACCACACTAAGCAATAATCCTTCCTTCTCACTTCTTCCTCCAGATAATAGCCTCAGGAACAGAAATTCAGGTTTTGAGTCAGCAGATCTTGGACAGAGACTTGGATCTAAATTTTTAAAAAGCTCTCCTGGGAATTGGGATGCCCACATGAACTGGCTCAAAAGAAGGATTTATTTCAGAAATGCCAAGAAGGTTTCACACTTGGTAATAGGACTTTCTTGGTAGTTTACCTCGGTGGGAAGTTGTCAAAGAACAGTCAAACCCACAGGTTTGAAGCTCAGAATAAGTGGGCTGCCTCATATTTTGAATTTGCAATAAAAACAACATATATACAATATTTTCTTATTGTGGTAGAGGCGCAAAGTAATAAAGCATGCAGGGTAAAACCCCTCCCTGTCACAAACGCCCCCTACCGGGCGATTCTGTTACAGACCAGGCTTCTTGGGCTTCTTAATCAACAGAAATTGATAAGAAACCAGACAAGAAATTCAGGCAAGGCTTTACTGGGACTGGTGCTGCAGCACAAGGGAGTGAAAACAAGTAACAGTTTCCCTTGCTTACTCCCTGGGGGGGAGGGGAGGCTGAGCTGGTTCCTTATGTGGGGTGAGGGTAGGGGTGGGTCCAGGGGTCTTGCTGGAGGGGTGGTCAGGTGGTCTGCCCACCCCCTTGGTAGTGCTGCGTGCAGGGCGCATGCACAGTACCCTGCTTTTGCTCCCGGTTCCTCAGAAGTGGCCGTTGGGTTTTGGTCCTTTTGTATCTTGTTGTTCCTAATTTGCCCCAACTGCCCACGCACGTAGTTATTTTTAGTCCTGTATAGTTTCTTTGTATTATGTTGCTGGAGGAGACATTCGTCCAGGTGCAAGCACTGCAGCAAAGGGTCCCAGGTCCCAGGTCCCAGGCTCTCTCAATTCCAGTCAAGTTCCCTCAGCTTGGTGGACTCTTCCAGTTCCTTGTCTGTGCATTCCCTATCGATCTAATATAAATTCAGACACAAATATATAAACATAGGATTGAATAATATATTTTGGGGATTTGCTTCCACCTTCGTGTTCATCTCAGTCATAACACCAAATCTTAAAGATCATTCTATGTTAGTACACCTAAACCTGAGACAGGCAAAATATCTCATGATTGAAGGCGCTATTATTTGTCCAGATGATCTCCTGTTGATGGACATGGAGTTTGTTTCCTTGTGTTTTTTTCCAATATAAAGCATGCTTCAGTGAACATCCTTTTGCATATATCTTTATGTACATATTACATAATTCTGTATTTCTGAAAGGCCTTATTCCTGGAAGAGGAATCAGTGATTCAGAGGGCCTTTTACATTTTGCTAGATATGCCAAAGGCTCTTACTAAGCCCAAAGGAGGGGCGGGGCACTGAGAGCAAGGCTCCAAGGTGCACCCAGTTACATTGTAGTTTATGTTGCAGTTGTGCTGTAGGGGACGCCATTTACATAAAATACATCTGGAGTGGGAAGAGCTGAAGTAGATCTGGCAGCCCTGTACTTTCTCCAACACTGAATATTTATCTTTTGATATTTTGATAGTTTGATGATGGAAAAAAAATGTTACCTTTTTGCTTCTATTTACATGCTATTTATTGAGTGAAGATGAGCTTTATTTGCCTAGTCAAATACTTTTTTCTATTTTTCCCTCTTTTCTTTACATATTCTGATTATTAATCCAGTAATGCCTGATAGATATGTTGGCAATGTTTTCTTCCATTCTTCTATTGTCTTTAACTTTCTTTGTGATATCTTTCATCATACAGAAGTTTTAGATATTTATTTAGGTAGCCAAATTTCTCAATATTTTCTTTTATGGCTTCTAGATTTTACAACTTGCTTATGATTCCTCACATCAGGGATATAATCAAATTATATTCAAATATAATCAAATTATATTTGATTCCTCAAATATAAAAGTATTTTCCAACATTTTCTTCAAATAACCTAAAGTTTTTTTAAAGGTGTAACCTCTAATACTTCTAGAATTTTTATGTGGTTCCAAGGAATGATTCAAGCTTAAATTATTTTCCCACATGGACATCTAAATAGCCTGCTCTCTATTGCACAGTCCATCCTTTAGCCACTAATTTGAACATAAAACGAGTTGTTGTTTTAGCTATTCATTCCCAAGTGGAGGTCCAAAAAAGTCTCTCGGCATCATGTCTGTTATAAGGTCAGAGAAACAAAACTAAAATAAGCTTATCATTTCAATAAATACTGAAACTATTATTTTATGAAATTAAATAGCCATCCCAGACTTAAAAACAACAACAAACTCTACGAGGTAGAAATAAAGAAAATATAAGCACATTTTCTTCATAAGATAACTACTTTTACCTTACACAACTGGTTTGCACATACCTGCGGGAGAAAGGAGAGTGGCATCCTTTAGGAAGCCAGGAATGAGGTAAAGACACCATCCATCACCACTATTAATTATCTGTGGTCTGAAAGATGCAATAAAGTACTAGTGAAAAGAAGAGTTATCGTAAAGGAGACAAAATACTGATATTAGTAGAAGATTCAATTGCTTTCTCAAAAAATCCAGTAGAGCTAAAAGAATTACTTGAATTACTCAATACATGGGCTGGATTTAAGATAAGTGTTTGGCGATCAATTTATTTCCTGCTACCAACAGAAGCCAGCCCAAACATATGAAGGAAAACTTCTGGGCAGGATGATAAGGACCCAGTTTGCTAATGTCCTCCTTCCAGTGTTCTCTAGAAATGACCAATGAAGTTAAAATTGGGGAAATTAGGGAAATATGCCAACCATATGCTGGGCCTCAAAGCAAGACGGTGGCCAGCTGGGACTGATGACAATTAAGTATCATTATTTATTATTACTCTGATATTTGCTAAACTTCTTTGAAACAGGTTGTGCTCAGGCTGTCCATATGTTATTTCATTTAATCCTTGCCCCAAGAAACCTAAAAGGAAGGTGTCTTTATCTCCTTTTCACATAAGATATGTTTGATTAGGTCAGAGGGCTGCAGATCCCAGGTTGGAAGGCAGGTGGATCTGATTCTAAAACTCACTCTCTTTTTTTTTTTTTTTTTTTTTGCGGTACACAGGCCTCTCCCTGTTGTGGCCTCTCCCATTGCAGAGCACAGGCTCCGGATGCGCAGGCTCAGCGGCCATGGCTCACGGGCCCAGCCGCTCCGCGGCATGTGGGATCTTCCCGGACTGGGACACGAATCCGTGTCCCCTGCAACGGCAGGTGGACTCTCAACCACTGCGCCACCAGGGAAGCCCTAAAACTCACTCCCTTAAGCATTATCAGGCCCCAGGTGAGTAACTAGGTAGTGAGGAAGTCTGGAGGGAGGTGGAGGTGGAGGTGGAAGAGGACAAATCGGGTATTTGGGGGCTCAGAGCGGCAAGTCCTTAAGCAGTCAGGGGGAGACGACCCCTAACTGCCTGCATAGCTGAAGTGCCGTAATGTGCAAGCTTTCCTTTCCTCTAACGCTTCTGTCACCCTGGCAGGTGGCCCCAAGATCCACGGTGAACACACACAGTTTGAGGCTTGGAGAAGTTAGGTGGTGGCCTAAGGCCACATAGAAATGTGGGGATTTGCTCCCAGGGTGCCAGGGCCCCCATAGGCAACGCTGCAGGATGTGCGCGGCCTCCCAGCCTGGCCGTGTTGTGGGGAAAATGGGGGCAGAAGGCATCTGGCAGGGTTTGTTCTCCCAGTCTGCACCCAAAGGCAAGGGGCCAAGGCAAACAGGAAGTAGGGGCTGGCCATCCCTCTGGGGCTGGAGGCGGGAGAGAGGGACCACCCACTGAAAGGGCCTCAGTGGCTGGGAGGGTTGGAGCCATACAAAGCCTCCTTGTCTTCTTGTCTTGGTTCAGATAAGACCAATTCCAGGAAGCCTTCAGCTCCACGTGGGCCAGGCCACCCCCTTTCAGCACAGATGGAGCAGGGCTGCTAGCCCAGGGCCACACAAGTTACAGGCAGAGACAGTGAACCAGTGGAGTGTGGCTGGAGATGCCTCTGTAGGGGATGGAAGGTGTGGGGACCTAACGAGATGAGATTTAAGAAGGTTTTTGTTTTTTGTTTTTTTAAATCTACCCCCTTTCCGGCAAGCAGTCCCAAATTCTCCCAGGTAGGGGAAGATGTAGGAAGATAGGGAAATCTGCTGGGTACAGGGAGGAGTGAAGTGGGGATGGGGGTAGAGGCCTAACGTTAACAACTATAATATCAATAATTATAGTCACAAAGGCCAACATACATTGATGCTGACATTCATTGATTCCGACTTTGCGTCAGGTGCTGTTCCAAGCACCACCTGCTTGTTTCTCAGTTAATCTCGGCTGGTACTATATGAGCAGGGTTCTGTGGTTATCCCAGAGGTTGGCAAGAGCAGTTTCCCACCCAGTGTATTTTGAAGTGTGATGAATCCACGTTAAAGGTGGAGGAAAACAGCCTAACAGGGTCCACCTGCTCAGTTTTGAGATATTTTTGCATAGATTCACATGGCTCAGTGTCAGCTCAGTTCATTGTTAAAGCCATAGACATTTCCCAAGAATGTGTTCATTTATGACTCCGGGATCCTTGTGGGCTTGGGAGGGTAGGTAGTCAGTTGGCATTTCCCCTAGTTCTGTGAGAACCTTGTCTGCAATGTTCTCTAGGGAGATGATCTCATTTTGCTCCTTGAGACCGGAGTTGGGGTAAAATACAAACGGAGAACACTCCTTGTGTACTGGCCTGGGTTCCTGGACTCTTTAATCAATAGAAGTTGATGAGTGCAGACAAGAAATTCAGGCAAGGCTTTACTGGGACTTGTGCTGCAGCAGGAGGGAGTGACAACAAGTAACGGGTGTCCTTGCTCACCCCCTGAGGGAGGGCGAGCTGGTCCTTTAAATGTGGTTGATGCCAGGATCTTGGTTCCCTGTCCACCAGTGCCGAATAGAAATACTGAGACAGTTTGGAGGCAGTAGAAAAGAGTAGCTTTATTCTTTGGCCAGGCAAAAGGGAAACATAGTAGGCCAGCGCCTCAAGAACTGTGCCCCCTTCCCTGGGGAATAGGGAAAGGTTCTATAGCCCGGGGCTCCTGGTCTGGGGTAGGGGATAAGGCTCAAAGTAATTAAGGTCTTGCATTTCTTTTCTTCTGCAAATTCATGGCCAAAGCTGGCGTCAGGTGGCTCAGCAAGCGGGTCTGGTGTCCCTGAAGTTATCACCATGACCTTCTTTCTGAAATGAAGAGTGCTACAACGGAGGGTAGGGGGAGAAGAAATGCCAGGTACAAAGGGCGATTCACATGGAGTCAGAGAGCAATCGGCATTGTGAAGGACGAGTCTAGCTACAAGTGTTCGTTAGTAGTAACAGCTAAAGACTAACTAAGATTGCTTAACTCTTTCAGGCCTGTCTATGTTGTTTCCCCAGCCAGGTCATTGTTGCAAAGAGGGGGTAACAGTAACTCCTACCTCCTGGCAGAAAACGTGATTTTCCTTGCCTGCCTCTGAGGAGCTCTCCTCAGCTGGTCACTGTTGTTTCCGCACGTTATTTATCTGCAGGTTGGGAGTTCCTTGAGGGTAGAAAGGGTGTGAGCAATGCGCAGGCCTGCAGAGGCCCTCAGGTGGAGTTAAGGGTTTCCAGGTGTTACCAAGTACAAGCTCACACTGCTTGCAACAGGACAGCCCAATAAATTCGAGAGAGGAGTTGTTGGGGGCAAGGAATAGTGACTTTATTCAGAAAGCCAGCAGACCGCATGGACTAGTTTCCCAGAGAACCATCTTGCCCAGGTTTGGATGCTAGTTTCTTTTATGGAACAAAGGGGGGGAGGTGAGGATGTAAAGTAAAAAAAGGAGATATATTTCCTGGTTCTGGCCAGACTTCGGAGGGGGTGTGTTAATTTCTTCATGCCTGAAGCCATTCACAGGTGGGCTTGGTCAGGATGTTTCCAGTGAGCTTAAAGAAAAGTATATTAGCTTAACCCTCAGGCATGGGAGGCAGGGTTTTCAGAGATGGGCTATTATGTATACTTTAAGGTATAGCCCACATCCCTTTAGTGATTAACTTGTAGCAAAAGCGGTAGAATACAAAGGTTAAAAAAAAAGAAACAGATCCAATATGGAGTCAGATTTGTTGTTCCCTATTACACAGGGAGTCAGGAAAGTCAACTGCTGACCAAGTAAGAGCTGCTGCTGACTCTGCTTCCTGAAGTAAGTGCAGAGTTAAGGCCCCATGAAGGGGGCCTTTGAACATGAGTAGGGTTTTTCTAAGCAAGAGGTACTGTGTGCCATGGAGGTTAGTGGGGTGTGAGTGGTTTACAGGAGAGTGGGGAGCCATAAATCTGGGGGGATGTTTGGCCAGATTATTGAGAGCCTCGAATGCCACTCTCAGGAGAGTCAGCCTTTGTGCTGTAGGCAGAAGTGCTGGCAGGGTTTTTGGCTGAAGGATGACTCAATCATGCCAACCCTCTTCTTTTTTTAAAAAAACTTTTTGTTTTGAAATAAGTTTAGATTTACAAAAATAATACAGCGAGTTATTGAGTATTTTTCACCAGCTTCCCCACATATTAACATCTTAAGAACTGCAGTAGAATTATCAAAGTCAGGAAATTAACATTAATACAATGCTATTAAAGAAGCTACAGACTCTATTCATATGTTGCCAGTTGTCTCACTACTGTTCTTTTTCTGGCCCAGGATGCAATCCAGGATCCCGCATTGATGCAATTGTCATGTCTCTTTAGGCTCCTTTAATCTAGAACAGCTCCTGTCTTTTTTTGTCTCTCATAATTGGACAGTTTTAAGAGTCCAGGCTAGTGCGTTTTGTCTTTCATAACCTTGACACTTCTGAAGAATATTGTCCAATTATTTTGTAGAATGTCCCTCAACTTGAACTTTTTTCATGAAGAGTTTGAGTTTCTGCATTTTTGTTGAGAATCTCGTATGAGTGATGCTGTGTTCTTCCAGTGCACCACATCAGAAGACACTTATGATGCTGCTCTGTCTCATTATTGGTGATGTTAACTTTGAAAAGACGATGTGGTAAAGGTGATGTCTGCCAGGTTTTTCCATCGCAAAATTACTGCTTTCCCTTTTGTAACTAATGAGTATCTTGTGGGGAGGTCACTATTAGACCCATCCTCAGCCTGGTGGAGGCAGCCCTTCTCCCAGTCCTCTGGGCTGAGGATCATCTTTTCAGGCTCCAGTGGGCCTAAGATGACCTATCTCCTCAAATTTGTTTCTTCTGACGGCTCTACCTTTCCATGATGTAAGCCTCATTGACTGTTGTTGGGAATACAAATTTGTACAGCCTTTGTGGAGGGCCATTTGCCAATGTCTACAACAATTTTATATGTGTATACCCTTTGACTTTACAGTTTCACTTAGACAATGAAACACACAGATGACATATGGTGTACTAAGGAAATGAAACACACAGATGACATATGGTGTACTAAGGAAATGTTATAATAAATGAATTTCCCTTTTCTCCACATCCTTGCCAATGCTTATTATTTGTTCCTTTTTTTTTTTTTAATTTATTTTTGGCTGTGTTGGGTCTTAATTTCTGTGCGAGGGCTTTCTCTAGTTGTGGCAAGCGGGGGCCACTCTTCATCGCAGTGCGCAGGCCTCTCACTATCGCGGCCTCTCTTGTTGCGGAGCGCAGGCTCCAGACGCGCAGGCTCAGTAGTTGTGGCTCACGGGCCCAGCTGCTCCGCAGCATGTGGGATCCTCCCAGACCAGGGCTCGAACCCGTGTCCCCTGCATTAGCAGGCAGACTCTCAACCACTGTGCCACCAGGGAAGCCCCTGTTCCCTTTTTGACAATAGCCATTCTGACAGTGGGAGATGATATCTCATTGTGGTTTGATTTGCATTTCACTGATGATTAATGATGTTAAGCATCTTTTCATGTGTCTGTTGACCATCTCTATGTCTTCTTTGGAAAAATGTCTATCCAGATCTGCACATTTTAAAATCAGCTTGTTTGGTTTTTTGCTATTGAGTTGTATGAGTTCTTCATATATTTTGGATATTAACATTTACAAATATCTACTCTCAATTCGTAGGTGGCTTTTTCATTTTGTTCGTAGTTTCCTTCACTGTGCAAAAGCTTTTTAGTTTGATATAGTCCCATTTGTTTATTTTTGTTTCTTTTGCCTGAGACATATCCAAAAAAAAATTTACTAACATTTATGTCACAGAGCTTATTGCCTATGTTTTCTTCTAGAATCGAGTCTTACATTTAAGTCTGTGATCCGTATTGAATTTACTTTTGTGCATGGTGTGAGAGAGTAGTCTAGTTTGATTCTTTTGAATGTAGCTGTCCCATTTTCCCAACACCGTTTTTTAAAGAGGCTGTCTTTTCTCCATTGTATATTCTTGCCTCCTTCGACAGATTGTGTAGATTCATTTCTGGGCTCTCTATTCAGTTCCCTTGATCTGTGTGTTTGTTTTTGTCCCAGTACCATGCTGTTTTGATTACTGTAGCTTTGTAGTATAGTTTGAAATCAGGGCGCATAATATCTCCAGTTTTGTTCTCCTTTCTCAAGATTGTTTTGGCTATTCTGGGTCTTTGTGTTTCCATACGAATTTTAGAATTATTTGTTCTAGTTCTGTGAAAAATGCTCTTGATATTTTAATAAGGGTTGCATTGAATCTGTAGCCACTATGGAAAACCATATAGAGATTCCTCAAAAGATTAAAAATAGAATTGCCATATGATCCAGTAATTCCACTCCTGGGTAGTTATCTGAAGAAAACAAAAACATTAATTAGAATGGATACATGCACCCCTGTGTTTATTATAGCATTATTTACAGTAGCCAAGATACAGAAGCAACCTAAGTGTCCATTAATAGATGAATGGATAAAGAAGATATGATATATATGTATGTGTGTGTATAGACACACACACACACACAGTGGAATATTACTTAGCCATAAAAATAATGAAATCTTGCCATTTGTGACAACATGGATCCACCTAGAGGGTATTATGCTTAGTGAAAAGAGTCGGACAGAGAAAGACAAATACTGTATGATTTCACATGTATGTGGAATCTAAAAAACAAAACAAATGAACAAATACAGCAAAATAGAAGCAGAATTATAGATACAGAGAACAAAAAGGTGGTTTCCAGAGGGGATGGGGGTTGGAGGAGGAAAGAAATAGGAGAGAGATTAAAAGGTACAAACTTCCATTTGCAGAATAAATGAGTGGCAGATATTGATGCCAAAAGTCTTGGCTCTCTGGGCACCGATGCCAAAAAGAAATACGGAGACCGAGTTTTGGAGGAATGAGGAAAATGGCTTTAATCTTTGCCTGGCAAAAGGGGTAACAGCAGGCTAGCACCTCAAGAACTGTGCCCTTCCTTTTCTGGGAATAGAGAGAGGTTTCTATCCTGGGGCTCATGGTCTGCAGGTAGGTGATAAGGTTCAAAGCAATGAAGGACTTGCATTTTTTTCCTTCAGCAAATTCATGGCCAGAGCTGGTGTCAGGTGGCTCATCAGTGGGGTCTGGTGTCCCTGAAGTTATCGGCCAGTGACCTTCTTTCTGAAATGAAGAGTGCCACAAGGGAGTATAGGGGGAGAAGAAATGCCAGGTGCGAAGGGTGATTCATATGGAGTCAGAGAGTAATCTGCTTTGTGAAGGACAAGTCTAGCTACAAGTGTTTGTTAGTATAACAGCTAAAGAATAACGAGGATTGCTTAACTCTTTTAGGCCTGTTTATGCTATTTCCCCAGCCTGTTCATTGTTTCCTTATTTTACTTGTTTATCAGAAAAGAAATGTCTCATTTCTGTTTTTACTGCAACAATATGAAATGTACAGTGTGGGGAATATAGTCAATAATTATGTCATATCTTTGCATGGTGACAGATGACAACTAGACTTATCATGGTGTTCATTTTGAAATGTATAGAAATAGCAAGTCACTATGTTGAGTAACAGGAACTAATACAGTGTTGTAGGTCAGTTATAGTTCAAAAAACCCAATCACAGAAACTCATCAAAAAAGAGATCAGATGTGTGGTTACCAGACATGGGGGGTGGTTGGAGGGGGAATTGGATGAAGGCAGTCAAAATGTACAAATCCCAATTATAAGACAAATAAATACTAAGGATGTAATGTACAACATGATAAATATAATTAACACTGCTGTATGTTACATATTGTGTGAAAGTTGTTTGGAGAGTAAATCCTATGAGTTCTCATTAAGGAAAAAAATTTTTTCTCTATCCCTTTAATTTTGAATCTATATGAGATGATGGATGTTCTCTAAACTTATTGCAATAATCATTTCATGATATATGTAAGTCAAGTCATTATGCTGTACACCTTAAACTTATACAGTGCTATATGTCAATAAAACTGTAAGTAAATAAATATTTACTGTAAGTAAATAAATTAATTAATTAAATGAATGAGTTCTATCTATGTACACCAGCATGGAATTACCTCCAAGATTTACTGTTGAATAAAGAAAGCAAGTTGCAGAAAAATGTGTGTAATACAATCTCATCATGAACAAAAGAATGTCTGTGAGTCTGTGTGCATGTATATTATACACTATTTTATTTATATATATATGTTTTATATGTATATAGCTGAAATCTAGAAGAATGCACATTCAGCTGCTAATGGTGTAATCACTGCTATGCACAGGGATTAGGATGAGAGTGAGGGTACTAATGTAACTGGGAACTTTATGTTAGACATTCTCATTGTTGAATGATTTGATGTTTCACAACAAGCACAGGATACATTTGTAATAGCAGTAACAACTCCTGTTGCAGCCACATTCATCTTTGTCCAGAAGAGGAAACTGACTGTCCAGAGAAAGGGCCTTGCCCAAGTCCAGCCAGGAGGTTAGCAGCCAGGAGGTTAGCAGGGCAGCAGGAAGCAGACGAGAGAGCGAGACTGGGAGGGACCAGAGGTGAGCAAACAAGGCCCAGCTGGGGAGACTGTAGAAAACGTGCTGAGTGTTAAGGGAGAAGAGGGGCTGGGCCCTGCCTCCCCAAACTCTTGAGAGCTCCCTCATCCCTGAGAAAGTGGAGAACAGAGTTTTGAGACCCAGCATAGGACACAGTCCCTGAATGTGAAGGACCTGGTGGAGGTGGCCACGATGCAGATTGAGGAAATGATGCCGAGGACAATCTAACTGCCTCTGAGTGAGATAGGGAGTGGGTACCAGAGATCAGGATGGAGCAGCCCGGGACCCACTATTTCCACCTTCATCGCCCCCATTTTACAAATGGGATTGAGAACAGATAGGAAACCTGCCCAAGGTCACACTGGACTCCAAAGGCTGCTCTTCACTGCAGACGTGCCTCAGGCTATGGAAGTGCATCTTGCTAAGGGTCGATCCCCAAACTAGCGTGTGACCTACACTTACCTAGGCCTTGAACATCCTTAAAAAAAAACCCCACTCTTAAATTGAGAATTTTGCAACCAAAATTTGAACACCACTGAACTTGACTAAGAAGGAACAAAAACAAAATAGAACAGAAAAGAAAAAAGAAGAAGGAAGGAAGGAAAAGAGGAAAGAAGGTATATGCAAATATCTTAGCTGTGGAACAATTCTGCTTTAACTCAGTTTCCTAGGACTAAGAGATATAGATGAGTGCAGAATTCTAAACTGTTCCAACCAGTCTGCAGATTTTATTCCTTTGTAAATCTAAAATATAATGAATATTTTGTATGGTGTTGTAAAGCTTAAATGGGGGGGAAGTAAGGTTGCACATTTCTGACTGAGGTATAAATTTAGTTTGTAAACTAAATGTTCAAATGCTTGCTGTCTCCTCAGGGTTGCCACTTGAGCCTGAATTTCCAATCTGCCCAGATAAAGAAGAGAGGATTTGGGAGGGAATTCTGCTGGAGTGATGGCTCGGAAAAAGGTTAGTAGTTGGGATATGTACTTTTGGGTCAATGTTAGTGAAGTAATTTGCCTAAAAGGGGCAGAAATGCCGATTCAGGATCAATAAGAGGTAAATTTGGTTGTGTGGGGCAAGGTTAGATTAGAATTTTCAAAAGAGCCAGAGAATTTAACTTTTTTTTGTTTTTGTAAATTAATTTTTATTGGAGTATTGTTGCTTTACACTGCTGTGTTAGTTTCTGCTGTACAGCAAAGTGAATCAGCTGTACATATACATATATCCCCTCTTTTTTGGATTTCTTTCCCACTCAGGTCACCACAGAGCACTGAGTAGAGTTCCCTGTGCTATACAGTCGGTTTTCATTAGTTATCTATTTTATACATAGTCGTGTATATATGTCTATCCCAATCTCACAATTCATCCCACCCACCGCTTCCCCCTTGGTATCCATACATTTGTTCTCTACGTCTGTGTCTCTATTTCTGCTTTGCAAATAAGATCATCTGTACCATTTTTCTAGATTCCACACTTACGCATTAATATACGATATTGGTTTTCTCTGACTTGCCTTACTCTGTATGACAGTCTCTAGGTCCATCCACATCTCTGCAAATGACACAATTTCGTTCCTTTCTGTGGCTGAGTAATATCCCATTGTATATATGTACCACATATTCTTTATCCATTCCTCTGTTGATGGACATTTAGGTTGCTTCCATGTCCCGGCTATTGTAAATAGTGCTGCAGTGAACACTGGGGTGCATGTATCTTTTTGAATTTAATTTTCAATAATTGCTACTCTTGTGAATCTCTAATTTGTTGTGCCTGATCTGTAGGCCTTCATCAGAAAAAAAATGTGTATATATCAGATCTCAAAACTGAGGGACATATGAGAGCAACCACGGTCATAGGGGTTAACTTGCCAACTAAGGAATGTTGCTTGCCATCCAGTTCTACAGGAATCAAGATACTAGCCACTGCAGTTACTGACGTATAGCAACACTCTGGAAAGAATTCAGGGTGAAGCTCAGGAATGAGGCACTCTGTGCTCTGGGAAAACTGCGAGAACAGGCCCTCAGATAGTTACATATTTTCGGGAGAAATTTTTATGGACCCAAATTCTTGCACTGTCCCATGCTTAGAAAAGTACTAAAATCATTAACTGAGATATCTGATCCTTGTGACTGGTAGCAACCTTCTACAGAGATGTGTGCTTGATTGTACATATCCCTTCTCCAAAATCACATACCTCTTCCTCCTGGACTCTAGTCCTCAGTAAGACAGTAAATAAACTCAACTCACAGCTCTTATGTTGTGTGTGTGTGAGTGTGCGTGTGTGTGTGTGTGAGTGTGTGTGTGTGTGTGAGTGTGTGTGAGTGTTTCAGTTAACAAGCTAAAAACCAGAATGACATTGAGAACTGGCCTGAAGTTAAGGCTCAAGGTAGCTGTTTCCCAGCTCTGCTGCTTATTTGCTGTGTGTGCTTGGGTAGTCAGCTCACACTTTCTGGGCATTCGTTTCCTCTTCTGCAAAATGAAGTGGCGGGTGTAAGGAGCCCAGAGGAGCTGAGGTTCTCAGCAACGATGGCAGCTCCTTTCTGCTCATGTCACAAGCCTTAGGAAAGCAGCCTTGTTGGCAAGCTGGCTGTCTGCATTCCATACTCAATTGCCCACCTTGGAGGAAGATGAAGTTGGAGGCAGTCACGTTGCCTTGTACTCAGAGCCCAGGCTGGCAGAAGGTATGCCTATCCTGGCTGCAGCAGGTGCTAAAGGCAGAACTGGGCAGTGGTTAAGACTTGGGGGAGTCAGAGAAACCTGGTCTCCAATCTCAGCTCTACCCCTTTCTAGACATGAGATCTCTGGTAACTTGCTGTCTCTGATCTGAGTGTCCTCTGTAAAATGGGGGTGTTAATAGTACCCATGCCTCTTGGGCTTGTTGAGAGAATCAGATGAGATGTGTATAAATGCCTAGAACAGTGCTGGGCACATATATATTCAATCAATGTTAACTATTATTATTTTTGTTGTTTTTATTACTCAAAATCAAATCTTAACTTCCTACCTAATATAGGAATTCTTTCTATGGCATATGAGACAAGTGGCTATTCTCACTCTTCTTGAATACTTCCAGTGACAGGAAGCTCACTACTTCTCCCAGTAAATTGTTTCACGAGTGGATAGTGCTTTTGGAATTATATGGAATTTTAAAGCTGGTACCTTATATAAATCTCAGGTTTAACTGCCTCATGAGGAAACCCAAGTTCAAGAGGTATCAATAAAAGATTTGCTCAAGGCTGCATGGCTAATTAGGTGGCAGCTGCTCCCTTCATCTGCCTTCCAATCTTTTAAATAGATTTATTTATATTTTTATTTATTTTGGCTGTGCCGGTAGCTGCGGCACACGGGATCCCCATTGCGGCATGTGGAATACTTAGTTGTGGCATGTGAACTCTTAGTTGCAGCATGCCTGTGGGATCTAGTTCCCCGACCAGGGATCGAACCTAGGCCCCCCTCCCCCACCCCGCCCTGCACTGGGAGCGCGGAGTCTTACCCACTGGACCACCAGGCAAGTCCCCTGCTTTCCAATCTCATTCACTAAGTCCATTTTCCTCAGTGCATCTGAGAGCTTTGATACTGCATCCACAAATGCCCCCCACTCTCCCCAAAGAACAATTCCTGGAGGGCCCAGGCTGTCTGTTGCTGGGTCTCTTTGGATCCCAGATAATGTTGAAGGTTCGTTGACTCACTCATGGTTGCTGGGATAAAAACCTCTATTTTAGAACTTCCAAATGATGAAGGCTGAGTTCTCCTTGCTGCATTTTCCAAGACAGTCCCCTCCCCGCACCCCAATGTCACTGGGATGATTCAGCTCCGCCCCATTCCTCAGCACAGCCCTTTGGTTGCCCAGCCCTCCCTAGCCCCACTGGCCTCTTAATCTCCACCCTGATGCTGTTTGAATACGCCTGGTCTCACAGGCCCTAAAGGCCAACGCCCATTTCCCTACCTGCTCTACCTAGTCTGGATGTATCGTCACACCAGAAGTGGTACCCCTGGGGACAGTTATAGCTGTCCTGAATGGAGCTATCTTCCCCACAGTGATTCCAGAAAAATAGCATGTGTACCTGATCAGGAGAGGGGCCTGGCCACCCCCACCCCCAGAAGCCCTCAGTGCCACTGACCTGACGTTGGATGATGCCTCATAGCATCAACAGCATCAGCCCTCCTACCCAGCTCACTCGCTCTGCGCTCCTGATCTGGCCTCTTCCCCCCCACCTCTTGAATTAATCAGGAAGCATCACTGTGATCTTTAAAGGCCAAGCTCCAGTGGTTTCAGAGGAGGCCTCTCTAACCAGTCCCTGGTTAGACTCATGTTCAGATGGAAACATCTTTTCCTTCCAGATGCCATTTCAAAGGGATATTTGAATGGATTGCTTACTTGAAGTAGAATCCAAATGATTTCTACACAAGGATTTAGATGGTGGAGTCCACTTTAAATATGTATTTCACAGAGCAAAAATATTTCACTGTGAATATATGGATGCCAGAGAGAGATTTTATGCTATGGTTGCATCTGTAATTTATAACCAATAGGCAACAAACACACATGTAACAAACATATGTTTGGGAGTCACAGCTCTCTCTTGACTCTTGGTTCTACCCCTCACTAGCTCTGATTGTTAACAAGCTACTTAATTTCATTAGGCCTCAGTTTTCTAATTAGGAAAATGGGATGCCAGGGCATACCTCCTAGGGGTTAAAGTGAGGATTAAATGAAAAAATGCAAACAAGGCTCTAAGCATAATGCCTGGCCACCCGCTGACTGTTCAATTAATGTTACTCTTATTATTAACATAGAAGCAACATTCTGTGGGATTCCTGCAGATTCAAAGGATATAATGGGTTTACATAAGGAATGCTTGTCTCTGGCCTACAGTGTGTTTTGCAACAGCCATTACAGGATGCCAGGACAATACTAAATAAGTTTCACAATTGAAATTTCATAATATATTTATTTTCAGTTTCCTAGGAAATATTCTGTAATACCCAGAACATAAGCCCAGCAAATACTTTTGCTATGCAGACATTAAAGCTTCATAAATGCTATAAATAACCTTTTCGGTGTACATGTGCAACGTATTACTGCTGCACCTTTAACCAATGGCAAGAACATCCCTAGGTCTGCAGAATGTTTACAATATTTGTACATTGCTATGGATACAGTATCAAAGGCAGGCGCCAGTAACATGAACAGGATGTAGGGGTTTAGGGCCGCTAACAATAATGATGGAAACTACTCTCACTCTTAATGCATCTTTCTTGGATAATATTTGTGAAATATTTGGGAGGTGGGAGCCATGCTGTTGAGAACATTACTTTGGATGTTTCATCCAATATGCTGACAGGCAGCTTGGTGAAATAGCAAGGAGTCAGAGACCCAGGTCTGACAGCAAATTGATTGTGTGACATTGGTGGTTACCATTCTTTGTAGGCGCACAATTTCTCCCAGTGTAAAATGATGGTGGGGGGTGTCTATCTGAAGATTTCTGTAGTCCGTTCCAGCATTCTGATTACGGGTTGACCACAGACATCATTTGGTCTCATATCCTGTGTAGTTAAATGCAATTCTGGCTAAGTTGAACAAAGTTAAGACAGATTTTTGGAGGCATCCAAGATGAGCTATACTAGTTGGCCAGCCTGGACTTTCTTTTTCTATTGCTTCCTGTCTTGTTCAAAAGCCTTGTAAGTTCCAGTTGGCTCTCACACTGTCTTAGAGATGATTTTTTTCCCCTCCAAGGGAGCAACAGGGAATGTGGGCAACTCAGCTCTTTTTTTGCAAATTGTCAAAAATTAACTGGAAATCAGATTAACTTACCAAACTCACACTGTCCTAGGAGTCCTTCTCAAGATGCCGAAGTTTAGTAGCAATTGACATATGGCAACATATATATTACTATTCATTTAAATCAGAAATACTTGCTCACAAAACAGCAGTGTACATTTTCCAAGAACAGGCACAGCAAACACCTTGGAATTGTTGCCTGGAAGTGGGGGCATCAGGGAGATGGAGATAAAAGGAAATAAACAAAACGAGAAGGGAGTAGACACTGGGACTCAAAGACGTGAGATTTATCTAGGGTAATATAGCTGGTAAGTATTGGGTAACAGTTTGAACATAGTTGTCACTCAAAAGCCAAGGGTGCAACACATATATATGGTATCTAAAAAAATATGGTTCTCATGAACCTAGGGGCAAGACAGGAATACAGATGCAGACATAGAGAATGGACTTGAGGACACTGGGAAGGGGAAGGGGAAGGTGGGATGAAGTGAGAGAGTAGCATGGACATATATACACTACCAAATGTAAAATAGATAGCTAGTGGGAAGCAGCCACATAGCACAGGGAGATCAGCTCAGTGCTTTGTGACCACCTAGAGGGGTGGGATAGGGAGGGTGGGAGGGAGGCTCAAGAGGGAGGGGATATGGGGATATATGTATACATATAGCGGATTCACTTTGTTACACAGCAGAAACTAACACAACATTGTAAAGCAAGTATACTCCAATAAAGATGTTAAAAAAAAAAAAAGCCTAGGGTGCTATTCCATTACACCCTGCTGCCTTTTGCTCTTAAGTGGAAACACCCATTACAATAAAAGATTGAAATGTGACTTGTTATTTATCAATTCTCTCAGAGGGTTGCTGTGTTGTTACTTTTCCCTTAGAAAGTAGAATACCTGCAAGATTCCCTCTTAGGGAGCTTTTTCTTTATCAGATCTTATCTTTTTGAGGTGATTTCATTTCCTAGTAGCAGGAAAGATAAGGTTAATTCATCTCGGGTTTTCTGAGGTTGTATCAAGGTGAAAAATTCTAGTTCACTGAGATTTTAGAGGACTCTAGAGGGTTAGAAAGTAGAAAGTTCCTCAAACTTTGGTTCTTTTTTTTTTTTTAGATGTTGGGGGTACGAGTTTATTAATTAATTTATTTATTTTTGCTGTGTTGGGTCTTCGTTTCTGTGCGAGGGCTTTCTCTAGTTGTGGCAAGTGGGGGCCACTCTTCATTGCGGTGCGCGGGCCTCTCACTATCGCGTCCTCTCTTGTTGTGGAGCACAGGCTCCAGACGCGCAGGCTCAGTACTTGTGGCTCACGGGCCTAGTTGCTCCGCGGCATGTGGGATCCCTCCAGACCAGGGCTCGAACCCGTGTCCCCTGCATTAGCAGGCAGATTCTCAACCACTACGCCACCAGGGAAGCCCTAAAGTTTGGTTCTTTTTTAAAAAATTTATGTATGGTTGACTTACAATATTCTATTAGTTTCAGGTGTAGAACATACTCATTCAATATTTTTATAGAGTGCACTCCATACAAAGTTATTATGAAATATCGACTAATTCCCTGTGTTGTACATTACAACCTTGTTAACATTTATTTTATACCTAGAAGTTTGTACCTCTTGATCCTTTTCATCTATTTTGCCCCTCCTCCCAACCGGCTCCCTGTGGTAGCCACTAGTTTGCTGATTATGCTGAGCAATGTCAGCAACTGCAGCTCCCAGTCAGCCAGGAGATAACAAGGGTAAACAACTGATACACTTACAACCATTCCATATCCACACAATCATTCCGTACAGTATTCATCAAATTACATCACATATTTAATACTTTATTATAAAATAGGCTTTGTACTAGATGATTTTGCCCAACTGTAGGCTAATGTAAGTGTTCTGAGCATGTTTAAGGTAGGCTAGGCTAAGACATGACGCTTGGTAGGTTAGTTGTATTAAATGCATTTTCTTTTCTTTTTTAAAAATTTATTTATTTTTGGCTGCACTGGGTCTTCGTTGCTGCGTGCGGGCTTTCTATAGTTGTGGTGAGTGGGGGCTACTCTTCGTTGCAGTGCGTGGGCTTCTCATTGTGATGGCTTCTCTTGTTGTGGAGCACGGGCTCTAGGTGCACGGGCTTCGGTAGCTGTGGCATGTGGGCTCTAGAGCGCAGGCTCAGTAGTTGTGATGCACGGGCTTAGTTGCTCCGTGGCATGTGGGATCTTTCCAGAACAGGGCTTGAACCTGTGTCCCCTGCATTGGCAGACGGATTCTTAACCACTGCGCCACCAGGGAAGCCCCTAAATGCATTTTCGATTTACAGTTCAATGTACAGTGGGTTTATTGCGACATAACTGAAGAAGCTCTATATTTCAACTTACTCTCATGCCCAGTTCACTTATCCTTCTGCCCTCCCTCCCAAACACACATACACATATACCCATCATGGAAATTGGCTAGAATGTATATAATTTAAATTTGGGCTTGTTTATATCCTTTTATTTTTCTTTGATGCCTCTCCTCCCTCCCTACCCTATATCTCTGCAGCATTGCCTGACTTTTTTCCCTTTTATTATTTAAGGACTTTTTCCAAAAGTGTTTTCAATGTGGGTCTTTTTGTGTGGCAAACATTCTGAGCCCTTGAAGGCAGGGAATCTTTTTCCCATCACTTTCTCCTGTTTGAATGATAATTTGGCTGAATATAAAATTCTACATTCAAAGTAATTTTTCCCCAGTACTTTTAAGCTATTTTTCACTGTCTTCTAGCATCCAGTGTAGCTGTTTGATGTCTGTTCCTTGTCATTCCTTTGGAGGTGATCGTTCTTTCTCTCTGGAAACTTAGAATTTTCTCTTTGTCTTGATTATTCTCAAATTTTATTGTTATGCCTAGGGATTGGTACGCCTTATCTCTTTTGTTTGGCCCTTTATAAGTCATTTCAAATAAGGTCATTTGGGGGAAATTACTCTCCATTATTTCTTCAAATATTTCTTCCACTCCATTTTATTTTTCTCTCCAACTGGAACTAATACCCCTAGGCGTTGGCATTTCTATGTTTATCATCCACATTTCCAGGCTTTTCTTTTGTATTTTATGTTTTGTATTTTCCTGTGAGACATCCACAAGCTTGAGTCTACAAATTCTTTCTTCGACTACATCCATTCTATTTCACTTGTTCTGTTTTCATTTAATAGGTTCTTTATTTCAACTATTTTATTTTTCATGCCTAATATTTTCACCTAGTTCTTTTTTGTGTGTGATTTCTTATTTGTATATCATATTGCTAACATATTCTCTTATTAACTCCTTATGTCCTACTTAAAGAGGATTTTTAGATTCCGGGTCCCTATGTTCCAACACTTCTGTTTCAGATGACAGGTGTGGCTCAGCTTATGCTTGTCATTCTCTGCTGTCCAGTGCTTTGGGCCTGTGATCTTGTTTTCCCTTGGGGCATCAACCAGCAGGTCTGATAATGCATTGGGGGAGGGCTAAGGCCAGGCCCTAGTCTACACTGAAATCAGTGATTTAAAGATGAGAACTCAGGAACCACAGAACCCTTAAAGAGTCCCTGTTTGATACCATTCCATTGGTCACTCTTTTGCCTGAGGTTTTCACTTTAGAACCTTGAGGAAGAAATAACAATGTAGTCCACAATCCTTGTGATTTGATTGGGAGTATAGGGGAGTGATTGCCTGAGGGCTGTCAGCCTGTTTTCATGAACTCTCCCCCATCACCCAGTGGGGCTTTGTGTTGCTAATATCAGGAGAAGCTGCCATGGACCCTGCTACTGCCCACTTCTGTGCTGAAGGGTCAGGCCCATAACTGTCTGCTCAATTTGAGGGAGAGACAAGAACAGCAGATGAAAAGTTCTCCACCAATCTAGTTCTCCCTGCTGCCCAAGGCTCCCCTTTCTCCACCTCTACACCAATTCTAGTCTTCTGTCCAGGATGGTGGGCAGGAACATTCCCTACATTTTCCCTTTGGTTTTAGGAATTCATACTTCTCTCATGTGTTTACTGTTTCTTCAAGTTTGATCTTGGGAGAAGGAGTCAGTGGCCTGAGCTGGTCAGCCATTTGGGCAGGGATCTCCCCTCAGTGTCCTCAACTTTAAATTGTTACCTCAAAGAGTTGTGGATGTTAGGTATTTCATATCGGTGTCTAGAATAAAAATAAATATTTGAAAAATATTGAGTTCTTTTTTACTTTCAAAAGACCTCAATCCCAAACTTTTATTCTCAAGGAGGGAGGAGTATGCAGATATGCCAACTGGCTAATTTCATCAGCTTTTTAAAAATTCTTTTTTAAAAATCGAAGTATACTTGATTTACAATACATATTAGTTTCAGGTGTACAACATAATGATTCAAAATTTTTATAGATTATACTCCATTTGAAGTTATTATAAGGTACTGGCTATATTTCTTGTGCTGTACAATATACCCTTGTAGCTTATCTATTTTATATAGTAGTTTATACCTTTTAGTTCCCCATCCCATCTTGTCCCTCCCCCTTTCCCTCTCCCCACCGGTGATCACTAGTTTGTCCTCTGTATCTGTGAGTCTGTTTCTGTTTTGTTGTATTCATAGCGTTTTTAGCCCCACAGCAGTGCTTTTTGCCGATTGTCAGGACTCCAAGGATTGTTTACACTGAGTGCTGAGCTCCCAGTGAGGGTGTTTAGCTGTGCTTCTTATTGACACAAACATGTTGTCATGTCTAGAAATCAACCCCAAGCCTCACGAAATCAGGGTCAAACCATTTGGGTTCTTATTCTAAATTTTCTCTAAAAATCTTACTACTCAAAGTGGTCTGAAGATCACCAGCGAGCTTGCTGGACATGCAGAATCTTGGACCCGCTCCACACTCACTGAATCAGAGCCTGAATTTTCACAAGATCTCACAGAATCCATCTGCACCGTCAAGTTTGAGAAATTCAGGATACATCATCACCCATGACCAACCTTCCAGTAAAAACTATACTCTTGATGAATGTTACAGTTTACAAAGTTGGTTTACATAGATGATTTCATTTAAATTTACTATTTTATCTTCATCCCAGCCACAATGTAACATTATTCTTATTCTTTTTAATGATGAAATTGAGGTCCAGGAAGGTGACAGACTTGCCTAAAATCCTGTGTCTGGAGCCAGGTAAATCCCAACTTCAGTCTCGGTGGATAGTAGAATACTTTTTGATTATTAATAGCGTGCTGAAGGTAGCATTAGTATGCATGGTGATTTTAGGTATCGATGTAAAGTATGCTTTATTCTCATATGTATTAGAGAAAAATATAATGAACAAACTAACCAGGTGTGGCATTTCATAGTTATTATTGCTTAAGGAGATTTGTGTTCTGAGGGTGGTCCTTCCATGTCCGAGGTTCAGGGAACATTTCTCTATATTATAGATGTCACTCCTCTCTTTTATTTACAGCAATGTCAAGATTCCAATTTTAGTGACAATTTATATTGAGTAATTTTTTATTTACTACAAACATCCAGTGCAATGTGTTGGTACAGGAAAAAGTAAAAGTTCTTTCATGAATATTTCCCTGAACAGTATTAGTACACCAAAGGTATTTTCCACAATCCAACTTTATGCCTTACTATAAACAGCAATGGAACAATTAGTATACTCAATCCTATTCAGAAAGCTTAAGAGCCATCTTTTTTTTTTAATAATTTTATTTTATTTTATTTTTTATTTATTTATTTTTGGCTGCGTTGGGTCTTTCTTGCTGCGCATGGCCTTTCTCTAGTTGCGGCGAGCGGGGGCTACTCTTTGTTGCAGTGTGCGGGCTTCTCACTGCAGTGGCTTCTCTTGTTGCGGAAGACAGACTCTAGGTGCACGGGCTTCAGTAGTTCTGGCACGTGGGCTTCAGTAGTTGTGGTTCACCGGCTCTAGAGCACAGGCTCAGTAGTTGTGGCGCATGGGCTTAGTTGCTCCGTGGCATGTGGGATCTTCCCAGACCAGGGCCTGAACCCGTGTCCCCTGCATTGGCAGGAGGATTCTTAACCACTGTGCCACCAGGGAAGTCCCTTAAGAGCCATCTTAAAATGTTTGTGGATAGAATTGCAAATACAGTATTTTGGATAGGATTTTCAAGTGTCCACCATGGAATCAGACTATAGATCTTCATAAAGAGAAATGTGAAATGATAAGTACACACTCTCATTGTCCAACGTTGAGAAAAAAGGAACCATAATTTTCAATTCGATGTGGACAAGGAGCCTTGCAGAGAGAAGGGTCTCATAGACTTACAAACATATTACTCAGGCGCCCTAGATTCTTTTTTGTCTGTGCTGATAAGAAGGAAAGGAAAAATGATATTTACAACCCAGGCTGCTCAACTAAGAGATTTAGTTAACAAGGTTCCAGCAAGGGCCCTGAGCAACAATAACAATGTGATTGCATTCCATGCTCTAACCTTAAAGGCAGGTTCTCCAACGTTTCTTTGGCGTTTTCAGGCCCTCCATGTAAATACATACAGGCTCCCAGATGGCAAGTTGTTTTGCTAAAGAACCTCTTTACACATCTAGAGTATAGCCTCTTAAACTCTAGACTTGTTTTAAAACCATGGCTTATAAAACGTTTGGAGTTGGATTGCAATGGACTCATAAACATGTTGAATGTAGGAAATAGTGTTAGTTTATAAATCTGGCCTGTTTTTAGGTTGTGAGGTCATAGTTTTCTGTTTTTGTTCCCGCCATTGGGGCTTGCTTTTTTGTCCTTCCAAACTATACTTGCCCTTGATATATTTGGGGTTTTAGTCTGTTTGCCCTCCATGGTTGTTTCCAACAAGATGCCTCTGGCCTTTTCTCATCCAAACTCAACACAGATGTTTCCCCTGTATCACCACTGTGACTGCAACACAAAGCTGTCTCTTTTTGGTTTTTGCTTTAGACTTACTTCTAGGCTCCTGGACTGCGGGGGAGGAAGAGGCAGAACATGAGATCCAGTTAGTCTGGCCTCTGTGTGTTACCTCACCTCCATGGGATGCAGCTTATGGGCCTATAAAATGAATGACCTGCACTGTTTGCTAAGATCTTTTTTTGCTCTAGGCCATGATAATACCCCAAATGAGATAACAGCATTTTATACTTTCGGCATTTAAAAAAAATCAGAGTACTCCTTTCACTTGCTGCAGACTACATCAAACACTGAATGAGATGTAGTGGAAACAGGGGACCAATCCTGCAATGAAAGGAGATGCTTATGTCCACCCACAACCTGGTGTACGTGGAGGAGTTAAGTGGACTATAGACAGCTCTAGAAACGTAAGGAAGACCATATGTCCTACAACTAGGGCATTCTGCATTTCTTTATCAGTGAAAAAAAAATCCCTGCTACAAAGTTCCAGAATAGAGTCTTTTTGAGAAAGAGTAGAATCCAATGTGTGACAATACTATCAAAACTGACCAAAAAAAGCATTTGATTGGAGACACCATTCCCAACATTTTATTCAAGTTACTACATTTCATTCAGTAATCTGCCATATTATCCTTGGCACCATTAATAACAACCCCTTAATCACAAGAGAAACAAGAGGGAAAGACTGGGATTTATGTGCGGAAGTTGATTTCCACCAAAACCAGTTCATAGTCCATCATCTTTCATGGTTGTGCTTTTACTTGAGGCCTCTTTTCTGGGGGAAGGGGGGCTGTTTCTCTTAAGTGTTTGCTTAAAACAAATAACATGACCTACTGTGTCATGGAAGGAAAATAAGGTCTAGTCCCTAGTGAACAAGCAGGCGGTCCTCCAGGAAAGGAGCCCTAAAGGCTCCTTGAGGTGAGTCAGTAACCCTCCTGCCCCAACCAGTCAGTAGTTAAGTTATAACCAGGTGAATGAGAGAGGTAGTAACTAGTTGGAGAACCCATAGTGTAGACTCTCTAGAACAGGAATGGCTGAGTGAGTCAGAACTGGAGGCAGACATCTACAGTGTCTGGAAAAAGTGACCAAGAATAGGAAAATGTGAAAAAGGTACGGGTTTCCCACCAGGGGACCCACAGAAACATGGCGGTACCAGTCAAGGGCAGTCCTGCGCTTTTCTCTGATGCAAGGGTACACTGAACGTGTTCTGCAGTTTTCAGATAAAAATTGGAATGATGCTGAACAAGTGCAAAGTGAAATCAGAGTTTCCCTCCTTTGTTCGGTAAACACTGAGAGAACACCTGTGTGTGAGGCAATGGGACAGGTGCTAGAGGAAAAAACGAAGCTGTCTTAAGATGTGGTCCTGACTTGAAGGTGGACATCAGATCCTGCACGTACAGAGCACTATGTTGGAGGGTCCGAGTGGAGGGAAGCATCACTTCTGGCTGGCAGCAGCAGAGAAAGCATTCCCCAGTCGTTCCTTCTTGGTTCCCAGGATGTCCTCTCTGCCTGTGTCACCTCTTGGCCCGCCCCATTCCAGGCACTTGCTTGTCTTCCTCATCTTTCTCCATAATCTGAAATGGAAGCCTGAAAGGAGAAGATCCCGCCTCACAGGTGTCTAACAAATGTGGGTGGAACTCATGTGTTATGGAAGTGTCACTCTATTTTGGTCCAGGTGGGTGGGAAAAAAATTGGGGGAAAGGAGAGCTGATAAGATGGTGGTGGTAAGGGTAAGGTGTTTTAATCAGAAGGTAGGGGCAAAGATATCCCAACAAGCAAACTTAGTATGTGGCTTAAACCAGGAGACAGGGAGAATGCCAACACAGCCAAGGACCGCAAGAAGGTAGCTGGAAGCCCTCTGCCAAATAGGATAGTCTGCAGAACTGGGAAGCTAAAATCTTTTCCTACTACCTACTCAAGTTTAACCAGAGCAGATGAAGAAAACAGTGAATAACTAGAGGGTCGTAACTTTCTAGAAAGATCAAGTAAGCACAGCAGCCCCCAAAAAAGGTGAGGCTGAATGTCAGTGTGGAGAAAGCTTTTGAACATCTTTTTTATCTCCTAGGAACTTTATATGCTATATTTTCTCTCTTTATTAAAATTGAAGTATAGTTGGTTTACAATATTATATTAGTTTCAAGTGTACAAAACAGTGATTCAGTTTTTTTTGGATATCTTTTTTAAGTTTGTTTATGGCGTCTCGGTCTGTAATCAATCAAGTAATAGAGAGATGCCATCCCAAAAAGGAACGTCTGCAGGAACCAGAGGAGTTGAGTCCAACTATTCGTGATGCCTTTAGACCTAAAAAAAGAGAAAAATTTATCCACCAGAATTTTAATGTTATGGTTTCACAGAAGTCATTGTCTTCTGGTTTTTTAAAAACGTATTCCTTGTATCTATTTTCATGGGGCTTATGTTGCGCTCTCCTCCAGCTTACTAACTTGAATGCTCAGTTCATTGATTTTCGTTTTTCCTGTGCATTTAGAATGGTACACTCTTCTCTGGGAAGCAATCTGGCTACTGCCTAGGACATGGTATTATGAAACTGTTTCTCACGTGATTTTTGATGAGCATATAGGGTTAGAAAGCACTGGGATGGCTTCAAAGCAAGTGTTTTGGACCAGATGTAAATCTAGCTTGGCCAACTACCAGCTTGACCTTGGGCAAATCACTCTCTCTCAGAATCAGTTTTCTCGTCTGAAAAATAGGAATAAGAGTATTTATCTCACCAAGTTTTGAGATGATTTTTGAGATAAGTTATCCAAAGTGATTAGTAAAGGGCCTGGCACATGGTAATAATAAATACCTGTTTATACAGCCATTCAAACGAAACTGCTGAACACCAAGCTCAAAAGAAAATGGCCCAGATGAAGGGAATGGTTTGCTACAGTCTCACCTGTATATAAATAAGTCTCATGTGGATGCCTTTTAATTTAAAACAAAATTTTAAAAAATATATGTAAAAATATATAATTTTCTACACTAACAGATTAAAGGAGAAAAATTACACGATCATCTTAATAAACGCAGAAAAAGCATTTGATAAATTTCAACATCCATTCTCAATACAAGTTCTCAGAAAACTTAGAAGGAGAAGGGAACTTCTTTATTCTGACAGAGAAGGTCTATACAACTCTAGAGAAAACACGAGGCAGAATGCTGAAAGCTTTCCCTTTGATTAGGAACAAGGTCAAGATGCCTACTGTCACCACTTCTGGTTGACACTGGACTGGACGTACTAGCCAGCAACGAGGGAAAAAACATAAATAAAAGGTATACGGAATTGAAAGGAAGAAATAAAACTGTCTTTATTTCTAGAGACAATTGTGTACCTAGAAAAAATGAATCTTTTAAATTATTAATGATGAACTATTAGATGAACAGATGAAGTATTAGAACTAAAAAATGAATGTATCAAGGTCACTGGGTGTGAGGTCAGTAGAATCAACTATCTTCATACATTCTACCACCAAACAATAGAAAAATGAAATATGTATGAAAGTGAGCCAGGATGTACAAGAAATTCACGTTTACGCAGCATTATTTATAATAGTCAAAAAAAAAAAACCCCAAAACTAGAGGCTTAAAAGTCTGTCAGGAGGAGGATTTGTTAAATACATTAAGGCACATCTATATAATAGAATACTATGTACTAATGAAATGAGGTAAATTTATAGGTCTAGACACAGGAAAACAGGCATATATGACAATAGAAAAAAGTTATACAAGAGTTTATATCTATATGTATATAGATATGGTGGCTATAAAGTCGAATGTTCAGTCAAGTCTTATGTCTGATTAAATGGAATTCATCAATTTCTTTTTATTGCTGGATAGTGGGATGTGGGGTAGGGCTTCCAATTGTTCTACATGTCTTCATGATTCTTTCACTTAAATGTATTCGTTCATAAGTCAAAAGGAATATTCATTCTGGTTTACAGTCATCAATGATACACTGCAACACGTTAGGCCATAAAGAAATGATTTCAGGAATGTGAGAATAGTGCCCTAACCTCTCTATGCCTCTTCTCCCACTGCCTATCAAAGAACTTGAGAGCAGGATGTTCAATTTGAGTCTTTTCGTTTTCATTAGAGGCTCCAAATGACGATAACAAAATAGGTGTAAAGTACTCCAACACTATAATGTGGAGGGCTGGACCACACGCCTCCGAGCTAAGCTCTCACTGACAGCCTAAAGAGGCCGTTACAAAGAGGTATTAGTGCTGCGGCACTTCCTATCCCAAGTCAGCCCAAAGAACAGCTTTAATGGAACCACTCAGCCTGGCAAGAGTCCCCAGTAATTTGAGGGAGGCTTAATATCTAACTCAGACGTTTAACTACTGGTACTTGGCTGCCCAGGGAACTGCACACACTTGCAGGTTTATCCTGCTGGGCAGATAAGGAAGCTGTCATCGTGAGCCTTACAGGTCTTGTGGAAGGGCACTGGCATGGGTGAGCTTAAAAGCAACCCCGCCCCAGAGGCCTAACTAAAGGGTAGAAGAGATCTCAATAAAAGGGAAACTGCCCCCCACCACGACCCCCATTACAGATCCTAAGGGAAAACTGCAAGTGACATACTGACTGAGGTCTGAAGGAACCGTCAAGGGAACTGAAGAAGGGAGATCCCTAGTGATGGGCGGTTTCTCAAAACTCCACCAAGGCTCCTTTGGAGAGAAAGAGTCAACAATGGATATGCAACCACCACAGCACCCAGCTGCCTGATCACGAGGCAGACTGTGCTCTGCTTCCGCTAACTGCTCCCAGCACCCCAAGGGGCCACAGGCAGCTGTCGCTAGTGAACAGGGAACAAAGCTGGAATGAGAGGGAAGACATCAACTACCCCCTCTTCCCCCCAGCAGGCTGCTGAGCCCCAGCTGGAGGAGAACAGATGTTCTGAATTAGATAAAAGTTCATCGTTTTAATGAATAGACTGGACTTGACCAGATAATATGAGATAGTGACTGGAAAATCTATGGACCTGCTTCAGATTTCGTCCAGGGCTAGGGTGGGAGACAGACAGTAATCCTTGGGGGAGTGGAGACGGGTGAAAAAATAAAGCTGCTTTCTCCTCCTCTCCTACAAAGTCCAGCTTGTTTAATAAACCAGAAGGTGGAGGAACATAATCTATTTAAATCAGTTAGCACTTGTCTGGCATAGTGTGTACCCAAGAAGTATTCATTACTTTTATTATTAAAACAATAAAGTATCTTATTTTCCACTTTTAGAAGTAATACCACAAAAACAGAGGTGGTAATTAATCTTGACCAGAAGAAAAATAATCAATTGCAAAGTAATCTGGCATTACTATAACCATCTCTTTCATTACACCATACTTTCTGTGTGCTTACATAAAGTCTAAATGTAAAGAAAAGCTTTTTCAGTTCTCTCACATTGTATTATCCTGCACTGGCAACTGTAGAGTAGGGTCTAGTCGCAGGACTTTTAGCCTGCAGTGCATCCCAGAATCACCTACAGACCTTGAAAAAATAACATGTTCCTACCTCTGAAGCAAGGCTACTACATTAGGATCTCTGGGCCTGGAAACCAAAGAAGTGAATGTTGAGAAAGCTCCTCAGGTGATTCAGTGGTGAAACTAGGCTGAGAATCACTGGGCTAGGTCAATACAGCTCTTTTTCAAACTAGAAGGCAGCCTCCTAATCTTTTCTTCTAGTTGGGGCTATACAGAGACTTTTGAAAAAAAGAAGAAAAATCATCTAAATTAAATGACTAAATAATTGACTCATTAACACAAATGAATCCATTCATTAACTATTTACTGAGTACTCCCTCCGGGTACTGAGACAGGCTCAGTATTCGGTGTGGGGATTCAACTCTACCTGAGAGTGTTCTCGGCCTACAAGCGCATGAATTATTTAAATGTGGCTACTCTCAACTTATATTAGATACCAAGAGAAAAGCGACAAAGACCTATTAAAAAACACTTACTTGCACAATACAATGGCATACAAGGACTCTCCCACGTGAATCAGCCACGCAAGCCAATACCTGAAACAAAAGTCAGCCTAGTTTAAGGTGATGGTTCTCTGCTGATGAAATCTAACACAGAAGCCCCCAAGAGAAAGGTGCTTTCACGTGAACAAGCACCACTCTTAGAAGGCAACCAGGGGCCTTCCAGGTCTACGGGGACACTGGAGCTGCAGGGTCCACACCCCATTTCTGCAGCTCTCCTTACCAGCTGTGCAGGAGGGTGTGATGATGCTCCAGCAAGTACTGAGTGAAGGGGCCCAGCGGCCCGAGGCTCTGATACGGAATAGCCTCAGGCCAGAAGATCACCCACTGAAAGAGAACCAGAAGCACAGAATGCCTGTTAGGTCACTTAAATCTATTTTTAACCGAGGCTATTAAATACTCCCGATTCTATAAGAACAAGGAACAGACCAAAGAAACTCTAAGCTAAGTCATCTGGGCTTCCATTCTTTACTTCTATTTTCTGAAAGCGATTCTAGTGGGAGATTTAGGCTGAGGAAACTCTGTGGTTATCAGATTTAGTGCCCAGGTTGGCTGACTTCTGTTATTAATGACTTACACAATTTAGTCCTCAACCTACTTTTCTGGGTATCTTTCCTGTATCCTTTAAATGAATTCTGTCGGCCAAACAAAAGTCGCTGCTCCTCTCAGTAGAGATTCTCTGTCTTCATGATTCCACATCTATGTCATAACATGTATATCCTCTCTAACTCTTCTTACCCATTAAATTCTACCCATCCTTGAGGTTTACCCCCATTTTCCAAGCAATTCCAACTGCCTCAAACATTCTGCTTTGGAAGCCCTATCCTGACTTGGCAGGCCTAGAACTGTCCGTCAACTTGACCTCCTTCTTCTTGAGTTCTATTCAAACCTGGTTAAGCCCTAGTAACCGTGGGGACGCAAACACAGGTACATTTTCAAGCAGAAAGCTTGCAAGCCCACCGACCTTCCGCTTACGCCAATAACCTCGGCAAGCGCCAGGCGCGCAAGCGCAAGACCCCGCCCCCCAACAGCGGCCCTCGCCCTACGGGAGCCTGGCGGGCCAAAACAGATGCACCCCGCCCTACACCTTACCCCGAAATATCCCAGCCCCAGGGCCGTGACCAGCGAGGGCAGCGGTTTGGCTGTACGGAAATAGGAGGTAGCAGCCCCACCGGCATTCGACTTCGCCACCACCATCTTGAAAGATCTAGACACCGAGTCATGGGGTGGGGAGTATTCCCTGCCTTCATATAGGGAAAGCGTGGGCAACCGGTTTCTCAAGATCTCAACACAGGCGGAAGGCGCGGGCAGACGGGTGCGCCTGCGTCTTCTTCCCGGGTCTAGTGCCCTGGCTTAGAGCGCTCGAGAGCGGCGATTGCGCCTGCGCGACCTCTCCGTGTCGTAGGTGCGGATCTTGTGGCTCAAGGCAGCACTCTGTCCCCTCGCATGGCCTTGCCCGGGGCCCGCTGCCCTTACCGTGTAATAGCCAAAGGAGAGGGTGATGACAGTGACCCAGAACAGACTGCTCCTCTGGAAGTACGTCTCATCTCCTCCTGCCTTCCCCATCGCTGCAGCACGTCCCAGGGAATGCCGAGCAGGCCACCTCTGCTCTGGAGTGAGGCAAGGATGGGGGCGGGGCCGTGGCAAACACTCCTCCCTCCTCTCACCTACCTCCCCAGAGGGAGAAGAGTCAGTGGGCCTGAAACTGAAAACGAGTCTCCATCGGCTCTGGCCTGGTGGGCTTGGCTATCACCTTGCAGGGGAGACCCCTCTCTGAGTGTCACTTTCTGGGGCTTAAGATAATGCTGTTGGAATAGATGGTGCTTTATGCTCTTAATGACTATGGATCTAATTTTTGAACTTCAGCTCTGCTGTGCTCTGTGGGAAATGTAAAAAAAATTAATAAATAGAAAGTGCAATTAAATAGACTTGGGCTACTGGAAGGGGGAACTCTCACGCTCTGTGACGTTAGCAGAGGCTGATAGGGAGAAGACCTGTCTTCTTTCCTGGCAACGACTCAGCCAAAGAAAACCCATGGACTCTTTGTTTTTTATAGCCTTCCCAACTTCCTTTTCTTCTTACAAGTGTTGTAAGAAGAACAACAATGTCCCTGGGGGGGACACACGACTTGTGCTGTGGCTCGCTGTGGTTGCAGACCCTAAAGTGTAATTCTTTGCTTATCGCAGAATAAACCCATTTTTCCTGGAGAAGTATTTGGCAGTCTGTTTGTTTCAGGTCAATAGAAATAATGCTCTTTCTCTTCATTAGTAAAGATGCATGGACCGATGTGGCACAGCACTTACAAGAAGGGGCTGTGGAACAGATACCTGGGTTTACTTTTACCTCCTGGCTCTGCCAGTAACATTTTGTGTAAGCTAACACTAGTTACGTTACCCATCTGTGTCTTAATTTCTCCATCTGTAAAGTGGGGATACACTGGTTCCTACCTCAGAGGTTTTGGGTGGATTACATGAGTTAGTACTTGTAATAAAACCGCTGTAAAGCAAAGAATGTTGCCCACCATCCAGTTGTACAAGGAGCAAGTCATTAGCCACTGCAGTTGCTGACCTACAGGACACCCTGAAAGGAATTCAGGATGAAGAATAGCATGACGTGCTCAGTGCTTTGGGAGAACAGGCAGAACAGGCCCTTAGATGGTTAGATATATTTCAGGAAAAAATTTTTATGAACTCAGATTCTTGCATTTTCCCATACTTAGAGAAGCACTACAATCATTAACTGAGATATCTGTTCCTCTTGACTAGCAGTAACTTTCTACTGAGATGTGTGCTTGATTGCATGTGCTCATTACCCCAAATCATATATATGCTGGCCTCTCCCCCTACCTCCTCAGAGCTATCTGAGAGGCTGTCTCTTGGTCTGTAGTCCCCAGTAAGGCACTGCATAAACTCAACTCGTAGCTCTTACATTGTGCATTTTTCTTTCAGTCAATAGCACTCACAAAAGTGTCTGGCCCATAGTGCTTTATAAGTTTTGGTTATAAATATTACTGAGCCTTTGGCGTATTTGCCAGGCCCCTGTGCTAAGTGCTGTATCATCAATGCGAGGTGGGAGGCACATCAAGCCAAAGTGTTCTGATGAGACTTCAGGAGAGACAGGGCTTTAAAAGCTATTGTGAAAGCAATAGCTGATGTTTATTGAGCACTTACTATGTTCCAGGCATTGTTTTAGAAATATTAGCTCACTTAATTCTCAAAACAGCTCTATGCTATAGACTATTGTCCTTCATTTGAAAGACAGGAAATAGCACAGAGAGGTACCCGAAGTCATGTAAATGGGTAGGTATACTGGAAGTCAAGTGGTAGCTGAGTGTTCCAACACTCTTAAGGACCATGCTTTATATAACCTATGGGATATTTCCAGAACTTTTTCAGTTGACATGGAAACAGCCAAAGTTGTTTCTTCATTTTTTTCATGACTGTATTTGGCTGTTTTAAAGAATGGTTTCCAGAATGTGTGACACAGTCCATTTCCCAGATAAACCACAGTGCCTGTCAGTATCAGGTTTACCGGGGCTCAACAGCTTTGCTTACTTCTAATCTTTCTTCATCACATCACCCTCTTGGTTCTCCTCCCTCTCTGAATACCTCTGTTTTCTCAGCTTTGCTTTTACTGCTTGTCCCCTACATAGAGGTGTTTCCTATTATCTTCTCTGTGTTTACAGTCTTTTTGAACTTTAATTTTCACCTCCGGATGACTCTAAAACAATCTCTCCAGTCTCAGCCTCTCTCCAGTTGCCAGCTGGTCACCCTCTCCTTTGGCTATTACACGGTAAGGGTGAACAAGAAGTTCACTATTATCCACAGAGTCAGTCCTCGCCAAGACTCCCCTATTTACATTAATATCATCTTCATTCTTCCAGGCACCCAGGCTCTTCCCTTTGGCTGCCCTCATATCTAGTCATCTGTCAAGAGTTCTGTTGATTAAGTAACATGATATCTCATCTTTCTGAATTAAACTGAAGCCAAGTCCCCCTAAAATCAAGTTACCTTGCTGAATTTACGATTTTTTATTTTTGAAATTTTTATTGAAATATAGTTGAGTTACAATGTTGTTTCAGGTGTACAGCAAAGTGATTCAGTTATACATATATATTCCTTTGTTAGATTCTTTTCCATTATAGGTTATTACAAGATACTGAATTGAATTTATGATTAATCGCTCTATCCAAAACTTTATTTCTTTTCTTTGTCCCATCTGGCCATTAATCTAATGAACTAACTAACTGAACACTGATCAACCAGAGTCAGGTGACTAAAATTGCTGTTGTAGATATCACCCTTAACGTACAAACTCAGGTTGTTTCTCCAGGATAAGATAAGCTAATAGACCCCAGAGCCATGGACCACTTGCCTGAGAATCATAAGCCAGGGACATCCTGATTCCCCAAACTATGATTAAGAAATGTCACAGAAATATCACAGAATGATGATTAATCCCAGCCTTTCTGTTCTTCCCCTTTAAAAAACCCGTCACTCAAAGACCAAGTTGGAGTGGTTCTGAGACTTGTAATAAATCCTGACTTTGCTGCAAACACCTGCAGCCAGAGTTTGGCTTTCTATGCCACAGGCACATGAGCCATTGCTGGTTACAAAACCACGGTTTAATTTTTACTGCCTCCCTGGGTCATCCCAATTGAGGTATGTTCTACCACTTCAATAATCTCTCTTTCAAATTTGTCCTACAAGTGACAGGTAATCTTCCACAAGTACAGTTCTTTTTTTTTTTTTTTAATAAATTTATTTATTTTTGGCTGCATTGGGTCTTCGTTGCTGCATGCGGGCTTTCTCTAGTTGCGGCAAGCGGGGGCTACTCTTCGTTGTGGTGCGCGGATTTCTCATTATGGTGGCTTCTCTTGTTTTGGAGCATGGGCTCTAGGTGAGCAGGCTTCAGTAGTTGTGGCGCTTGGGCTCAGTAGTTGTGGCTCACGGGCTCTAGAGCACAGGCTTAGTAGTTGTGGCGCACGGGCTTTGTTGCTCCGTGGCATGTGGGATCTTCCTAGATCAGGGTTCGAACCTGTATCCCCTGCATTGGCAGGCAGATTGTTAACCACTGCATCACCAGGGAAATCCCCACAAGTACAGTTCTGATCAAGCCTTTACCTTACCAAAACTTTTCAAGAAATTCCCTAATTTTAAGCTATTTTTGTTTAATATTTCTCTTCAGGTGTTAAATCTTCAGTGAGGAAGTTATTGGAAAATAACTCATGTTAGAGTAAAAGTTGTTGAAGACACAAAATGGCTTGGATCAGAGGACTACTGGAAGCTAGGTTTCATATCTTCCACCACTTTTCTCTGAGCCCAGCAAGTTACTTAGTGTCCTGTGCCTCCTCTTACTATGAAAGGGAAGAGTAGTATAGCCCATGACCAAAGGGTCTTACCATTAACCTGTCATGCACACATAAGGAATCCAGAAGAAGGAGTCAGAAGATCTTTACTCAGATGTGAGTAGTTTATGTCAATCTATAAGAAACCCACAGTCAACTGGAGATGTCAGCTGGAGATTCAGAAGGGATTTCTCTCTTGTATTTAACTCACCCGCTCCCCACGTAACAGGAGTAGCTAATTTCTTTATCCTCCAGGTATCCTAGACCTCCATCCCCTGCAGGTTGGCAGAGAAATCTTTCACCCCTTTACATTTTATCTCTCTCTCTCTCCCCTTTGGGTGGATTAATGACCTAAACATTGAAAACAATAAAGAAAATATGAGAGAAGAATTTTACAACCTTAGAGAATGGGGAAAGAGACTTCTTAGCAAGATATTAAAATTATACACTGTAGAGGGAAAGAAAAAAGTTAACTGCTTCTCAATTTAACACTTCATTCCTTATTTAGAGTTTATAATTAAAAAGTTACTTGTTGGGTTTCCCTGGTGGCGCAGTGGTTGAGAGTCCGCCTGCCGATGCAGCGGACACGGGTTCGTGCCCTGGTCCGGGAAGATCCCACATGCCGCGGAGCGGCTGGGCCCGTGAGCCATGGCCGCTGAGCCTGCGCGTCCGGAGCCTGTGCTCCGCAACGGGAGAGGCCACAACAGTGAGAGGCCCGCATACCACACACACAAAAAAGTTACTTGTTTTACTCTCTTATGTGTCACTTACATCTGGTTCCTTGATAACCTCTGAAGTAGTGTTCAGCATTCCCTGCCAGATGCTAGAAAGATCTCGAAGGTTAAAAACGTAATGGAATTTGGCAGGGGTGGGAGCATTTGAATCTTAGTCATCTGCCATAGTCGGAGCGTCAGGGGAACCAATTTCGTCACTGAATCTCTCACTTCTTCTGAGAAGCCCCTTTGGGTACAGTAGTATCCTATCCCCATCACACCTGAAAGGGGAAAAAAGTCATGACGTTTTGAGTGACAGTTCAAATCACCTAAATGAAAATGAAAAACATTCTAATGTAGAGTACAAATATAATTAAACATTTTAATAGTTAACCACATA